TCAAGCCACGGAGCAGGAGTGGAGGACCGAGCCGGCCGGGAGGATAGGGGACATAGAGAGTCAAAAGATGCAGAAAGGGAGGAGAGGAGGGTTGAGGAGGCAGAATCAGGAGATTGGAGGGAGAAGGATTGAGCAGAGGGATGAGATGATAGGATGGAAGAGGAGAGAGTAGCGGGAGAGAGAGAATGTCCACTTGGGAGAGATGAGGATTCCTGTGCCACCGCCCCGCTGACCAGATGCTTTCGGGGTATGCGAGAACACATGGTCAGACGAGGAGAAAGCAGTAGGAGTAGCAGTGTTTTCTGTGGTAATCCATGTTTCCATCAGCGCCAAGAAGTCGAGGGACTGGAGGGTAGCATAGGCTGAGATGAACTCTGCCTTGTTGGCCGCAGAACGGCAGTTCCAGAGGCTGCCGGAGACCTGGAACTCCACATGGGTCGTGCGTGCAGGGACCACCAGGTTAGAGAGGCAGCAGCCACGCGGTGTGAGGCGTTTGTTTGGCCTGTGCAGAGAGGAGAGAACAGGGATAGACAGACACATAGTTGACAGGCTACAGAAAAGGCTACACTAATGCAAAGGAGATCGGAATGAAATTAACTAAACATCTGGGGAAACGAGGCCTCCCTCACTAACCTTTCACTGAAACACTCAAATACAACTCTTCCAACTTCCACTTTAGAAATTATAATTGCTGTAATCTACAGTAGTTCAATGTTTCCAGGAATAGACTAACTTAGTTAATTCAGCTAGCTAACTTGGTACAGTATTCTTCTGTGAAAACCGCCCAGGGCACCGTATCCTATGACGCCATAGCTAACTAGCATGCTAGCATCCAATAACACACGGTTTAGCACCAATACACGGTTACAACAAACTACCAATGGATAATTCATGTCCATGTCTAGTTCCTTTCATAACGCAGAAGTAATTAAACGTTGGCTAGCTAGCACAAAGTCAGTCATGCTAGCTACACAAGTGGACTACACATCTCGAATGTTCAGAAAGTGAAGCTTACGTTGCAAAATTCTCATTGACTAAAATGATACAGTACTGCTAGCTGGTAATGTTGGCTAGCTAGCAGTGGCTAATGTGTTGACTGTTTGAAAATGTAGCTGGCTAGCTAACCTCGATAGTTTCTCTATACTACACCTTTGTCTTTGATACCAAGACAACTATGTAGCTAGCTAACTTTACACTAATCAAATCGTTCCGTTGAAATGTATTTAGTTGCTACAGTACTGCTAGCTGGTATAGTTGGCTAGCTAGCAGTGGCTGCGGTGTTGCTACCCGCTAGCTAGCTAGCTTTAATGGTCCAGGTAGTGGGTTAACTAGCTAGCCTCGTGCTTCACCGGGCTCAGTCGAATACACTACAATACTTACCTACAATAACTACCTGGATAAACTACCTACAATACCTAACTACAATACCTACCTACAATCTAAATGCATGGTTTAAGCTTTACTCAACACATATAGGACTAACTTATTCCTTGCCACCCATTCTGAAACTAATTGCAACTCTTTGTTAAGTGTTGCAATCATTTCAGTCGCTGTAGTAGCTGACATGTATAGTGTTGAGTCATCCGCATACATAGACACTCTGGCTTTACTCAAAGCCAGTGCCATGTCATTAGTAAAGATTGAAAAAAGTAATGGGCCTAGACAGCTGCCCTGGGGAATTCCTGATTCTACCTGGATTATGTTGGAGAGGCTTCCATTAAAGAACACCCTCTGTGTTCTGTTAGACAGGTAACTCTGTATCCACATTATAGCAGGGGGTATAAAGCCATAACACATATGTTTTTCCAGCAGCAGACTATGATTGATAATGTCAAAAGTTGCACTGAAGTCTAACAAAACAACCCCCACAATATTTTTATCATCAGTTTCTCTCAGCCAATAATCAGTAATTTGTATAAGTGCTGTGCTTGTTGAATGTCCTTCTCTATAAGCATTCTGAAAGTTTGTTGTCAATTTGTTTACTGTAAAATAGTATTGGATCTGGTCAAACACTATTTTTTCCTATAGTTTACTAAGGGTTGGTAACAGGCTAATTGGTCGGCTATTTGAGCCAGTAAAGGGGGCTTTACTATTCTTGGGTAGCGGAATTACTTTTTCTTATGGCAAATAGGAGTGGCAATATCGTCCGCTATTATCCTCAGTATTTTCCATCCAAGTTGTCAGACCGCAGTGGCTTGTCATTGTTAATAGACAACAATAATTGTTTCACCTCTTCCACACTCACTTTACGGATGGGATTACAACGCTTGTCTTTCATAATTTGGTCAGATATACTTGGATGTGTAGTTTAGCAATTGTTGCTGGCATGTCATGCCTATATTTGCTAATCTTGCCAATGGAAAAATCATCAAAGTAGTTGGCAATATCAGTTGGTTTTGTGACGAATGAGCCATCTGATTCAATGAATGATGGAGCTGAGTTTGCCTTTTTCCCAAAATGTCATTTAAGCTGCTCCAAAGCTTTTTACTATCATTCTTTATGTCATTTATCTTTGTTTCATAGTGTAGTTTCTTCTTCTTTTCATTCAGTTTAGTCACATGATTTCTCAATTTGCAATACGTTTGCCAATCGGTTGTGCAGCCAGACTTATTTGCCATTCCTTATGCCTCATCCCTCTCAACCATACCATATTTCAATTCCTCATCAATCCACGGGGATTTAACCGTTTTTACAGTCATTTTCTTAATGGGTGCTTGCTTATTAGTAACTGGGATAAGCAATTTCATAAATATGTCAAGTGCAGTGTCTGTTTGCCCCTCATTACACACCACGGAACAACATATATTCTTTACATCAACAACATAGGAATCACTACAAAACGTATTGTATGACCTCTTATACACTATATTAGGCCCAGCCTTTGGAGCTTTGGTTTCCCTAGATATGGCTCCTATATTGCTTTTGCCTCCTCTTCCCCTCCAACAAAGGGATGATGCTCTGAAACAAAACTACATCATTCATTTTGAGACACTTAACAAATTGTAAAACAGTCTAAAGCGTTAGAAAGATTGAGTATATGAATATAGAGTTAGAGTTACCTTTCTTTCAAAAGCTTTAGCCATTTCTGTGGCACCTGATCCAAACTCGTTTTTTGAGACATCGATTTGCTCCATTCTCTAACAGCAGTATGACAAAGTCTTCATAGTTGTTCAGGACAGCACTCTGAATGTCAGACGGACATCACATCTCTTTATGACGGTTGTTGTAGTGAAGTCAGCTACAGTACAGACAGACATCACATCTCTAGCTCCTCTTATCAGTGTCCTGATGAGAGAGAACATTTTCTGTGCCAGGCGAAATCGCGCATCATTTGCTCATTGTCATGGATGTCTCCACAACAGCTTAAACAAATGAAAATGCGTCTCTTTGCTGTTATTATAGCTGCACTGATTGACCTGACTGTGTTAGCCATAGTTGTGTAGCTAGCTAGCAAGCAAGGGAGAAGAGCGTTGCCCGCATGACAACGGAACATTTAGAAAGAGCGACTCGGTCGCGTCCATAGATATTGAACAAAAAGACTTAACAACTGGGTCGCGTCTCTGGCAACCTAACCCTATATTCTCATTGAGGGATGAAATGGTAGCCTATGAATATATTTATAATATAATATATTTATCAAAGTAACATTTTTTATTTAATTGGTAACCCGTTGTAGAAAAGCAATGGTATTTTGTGCAAAACAACTTTTTTGGCTCTGCCTCGTAACTATGACCGCAGCACAGCCGTGCTAAAAAAATAGTTGTTTAGCACACCCTCTCGTGTACAATTGCTTTATTCTACAACGGGTTGGTCAAAACAAGCATTGTGATTGGTTGAGACGCGTTCTAAGCCATACAACAACAACAACAACAACAACAACAACAACAACAACAACAAACGTAGCACGGGTAAACCTATGTTGCAAAAATGGGCATGTTGTTGTCGGTTCCATCTGAGAAATCCCTGCGAATCCATTGTCCCATCAGCCCAGCCAGCCAATTCATTCACTTGATCTCCACTGTAAAAAGGCATCTAGACTTTTAATTCAACCTTGTTTCTATGGTTGGAATGGAACGGTATCAGACATATCAAAACCACATTTGACTCTGTTCCTATAATTCCAGCCATTACAATTACAAACGAGGGCATTGCGTTCATCCACCTCTGGCCTGCTGGCCCCCCCTACCTCTGCGGAATGCACAGTTCCCGCTCAGCCCAGTCAAAACTGTTCGCTGCTCTGGCACCCCAATGGTGGAACAAGCTCCCCCACGACGCTAGGACAGCAGAGACACTCACCACCTTCCGGAGACACTTGAAACCCCACCTCTTTAAGGAATACCTGGGATAGGATAAAGTAATCCTTGTACCCCCCCCTTTCCCCAAATCCCCCCAAAAATAAAATATATATATATATTGTAAAGTGGTTATCCCACTGGCTATAAGGTGAATGCACCAATTTGTAAGTCGCTCTGGATAAGAGCGTCTGCTAAATGACGTAAATGTAAACGTAAATGTACAATGAGCCTGTCCTCCTGTAGCTCATTCCACCAGCCTCCACTGGTGCACACCCCCCTCTCCCTGTCAATTTGATTCCATTATTAGAAGAAGGTTATTGGCCTGCAGTAGGCCTAGTGGTCACGTTATCACATTCAGTCTTGTTTCATGTGACTCGTGGAGCCTATGCAAATCAACACACGTGACACGTCTGACGATTGAAACACGATTGACAGCCAAGGAGCGGTAATAGACTTTTAATCTGAAATCATACGAACAAAATACTGAAGCTGCAAGTTGTTTGTCCTGAAATTTCACATTTGTCAACAAAACATAACGGAAAGCTGTTTGGATCATACTTTGAACTCCAAGTCAACGTCGGGATTGTTAAACGGATTATTCTGTGTCGGGTGAGTTCGTTTTTTGGATAAGCGGTTCTCTATGCCTTTTGATTATAACTGTTGCCAACGGTTGTTGCGCTCTCGACGGGATCCTCTATCATTGCCATGACAGATAGATCAGCCATGTCGGAGCGGGACACTCATTTGATGGAGAAAGAGATTTGTTCTGATTCGGAAGCTGCTGACTGTCTGGAAGAAGCTTTTGTCTTCGGAGAGGATCTGGAACTGAACCAATTTGACGGATTGCCCTTCTCCTCTCGCTATTATAAACTACTGCAAGAGAGAAAGATTCTACCCGTTTGGAAAGCTAGAGGGGAATTTTTGGATATCCTGGTGAACAATCAACTTGTTATAGTATCCGGTACAACAAAAACTGGGATGAGTACACAGGTGAGTTTGGAATGGATGAGTGTTCAGATCTCAAATGTGAATTCCAATATTAAAGAATAGGTCTCAACAATATTTTCCCTTTGATTCCCGATACAGTATCAAGTATTTATATATTTATGTATTTTTGTTGCAAATTTCATAATTTATATAGTAGCATACAGTCCATGCATGACATGTAGAAGACATCTTCCGTGGAAGACGTGGTCCTCTGTAGCTCAATTGGTAGAGCATGGCGCTTGTAACGCCAGGGTAGTGGGTTCGATCCCCGGGACCACCCATACGTAAAAAATTTATGCGCACATGACTGTAAATCGCTTTGGATAAAAGTGTCTGCTAAATGGCATATTATTATTACATTTAATATTCATCGCAACAATGAGGCCATACGTCAAAGATTAGTTCCATACAAAGCATGTAAGCTACTTTATAGTCTGCCACCTAGACCTTTCATGTCCTGCTATGAACTTTTTCAGATAATCTCATCCACATAATAATTCCTTACACTGGAGTTGTGCCATACAGAGTAGTACAGAGTGTTATTGAATCAAATGCGAGAGAAATAAAGTATAAACTTCTGCCAGGATCTTGTCGTAAAGTGTCAAATGCCATCTGGCTGCAGTGGGAAGGCCAGTCTCTATTGAGATCCTTTATAAATATCACTCCAGCCTGCAGGGAACCTGATATTAATACCATTAGCTATGTTTTTGTCCCAAATGGCACCCTATTCCCTACATAGTGCACTACTTTTGTCCTGGACACATAGGTTCTGGTCATAAGTAGTGCACCACACAGGGAATATGATGCTATTTTTTTTTTGGGATACATCCTATTTCTTAGACCCTGAAACTGCACATACAACTGTAGATATTACTCTGCTTGCTTACTGCAGAATCCACTAGCCTGGTCCCAGATCTGTTGGCGCTTTTGCCTACTCCATTGCTATTGTCAAGCCATGGCAAGAGGGCAGAAGCAGACGGGGCATCCAGGCTAAGAATCCACTCCATTGTATGATGACTGAGATCATTACTGATGTTTTTTTGGGCTGACACTGGGCTTAATATGACCCAATACCAGTAAATACTCAGATTGCATTAGTCATGTATGCATCAGTTAGCAGTTGACATCCCCAACCTAACTCAGTTGTCCGTTGAGTCTAGGAACAGATAGGATTATTGAATAGCCTCTCCTCCCTCTAACTGTAATCCGATTTGAGATGTTTTCGAGCAGAAATATGAGCACGTGGTTTATGACAAAAAATGTAATGTGGAAGATGGCTATTCATTCCAGGGGTTGTGCACTTTGCTGTGTCTCTGTTTGGGCCAGAGATGTTTTAACAAAAATCCATTGGAACTTGGAAGACCCTAGATGACAACTTCCAGGGGAACTCTTTCCTGCAGTGCTGCCAAAAAACAGAGTCCTAGAACAACAAGTATAAACCTCAGAAAGGATTGTTGGCGTTTTTGCCTGTGTGCTACACAGGGAATGTCCCTAGGTACAGAATGACACTGATTATGGCTAAATTGATTCTATGGCTATGAATGTCCCCTACCCACAGTCACATTCACAGAGACAGAGCCCGACAGGGAGTGATTCTATGGCTATGAATGTCCCCTACCCACGGTCACATTCACAGAGACAGAGCCAGACAGGGAGTGATTCTATGGCTATGAATGTCCCCTACTCACAGTCACATTCACAGAGACAGAGCCAGACAGGGAGTGATTCTATGGCTATGAATGTCCCCTACCCACAGTCACATTCACAGAGACAGAGCCCGACAGGGAGTGACAGTGTGAAGCTAACTGTGAAAGTCTCCCAGCTCAGCCAGCAGATGCTGTTCAGTTGTGTCCTCACAGTGAGAGCCCTGCCAGGCTTTAGTGCAGCAGGTCAGACTGACAGGCTGATAGTAACAATAGGAATTACCCTGAATAACATGGGTCTTAAAGCTCTCCCTCCCTCCAAGAAAGATAACGAAGACCTCCAAGAAAGCACCCAGCCGCCCAGAACCTAAAGAAAACACAAAAAACAACCAGAAAAAAGTCACTGACAGATACAAACAAGAAAAAGCCGCAGAAAAAAAACAAAGTACCTGACAATAAAAACATCACCCAAGCTCTCCCGCCAGACCAACTCCACCCTCACCTCTCGCCCCCTATCCCTCCCATCCCCCTCCTCCCCCCTCCCCCCCTCCCCCTCCCCCTCTCCCCTCTCCCTCCTCCCTCCCTCCCTCCCTCTCCCTCCCCCCGTACCTCCCTCTATCCCTCCCTCTATCCCTCCATCTGGCCTCCCGCTGTTAAGCACTGATCCCCTGGAGCTGTCACTTGCTGCCACAGCAGTTTAGCATGATATAACACAATTAGTAGGCGCTGGTCCTTGTCACTAGTGTTATCACTGTCTTCATGTTGTTGACACTGTTTCCATGTTGTTGTTGACACTCTCTCCATGTTGTTGACACTGGCTCCATGTTGTTGACACTCTCTCCATGTTGTTGACACTGGCTCCATGTTGTTGACACTGTCTCCATGTTGTTGTTGACACTCTCTCCATGTTGTTGACACTGTCGCCTTGTTGTTGTTGACTCTGTCTCCATGTTGTTGTTGACACTGTCTCCATGTTGTTGTTGACACTGTCTCCATGTTGTTGTTGACATTGTCTCCATGTTGTTGTTGACACTCTCTCCATGTTGTTGACACTGTTGCCATGTTGTTGTTGACACTGTCTCCATGTTGTTGTTGACACTGTCTCCATGTTGTTGACACTGTCTCCATGTTGTTGACACTGTTTCCATGTTGTTGTTGACATTGTCTCCATGTTGTTCACAGTCTCATGTTATTGTTGACACTGTCTCCATGTTGTTGACACTGTCTCCATGTTGTTGACACTGTCCAGTCGAATGTTGAATTCAATGACACTGTTTATTCAATGTAAGCAGTTCAAGTTGTCCGACAATGTTAATACTACATTATGTTTTATAATTATCTGTCCAATCTATTAATGCCTTTAGAAATTAGGATTAATATTGTTAAGACTATTTGAGTCAGGTCACTCTGGTGGATTAATATTGTTAAGACCATTTGAGTTAGGTCACTCTGGTGGATTAATATTGTTAAGACTATTTGAGTCAGGTCACTCTGGTGGATTAATATTGTTAAGACTATTTGAGTCAGGTCACTCTGGTGGATTAATATTGTTAAGACTATTTGAGTCAGGTCACTGGTGGATTAATATTGTTAAGACTATTTGAGTCAGGTCACTCTGGTGGATTAATATTGTTAAGACTATTTGAGTCAGGTCACTCTGGTGGATTAATATTGTTAAGACTATTTGAGTCAGGTCATTCTGGTGGATTAATACTGTTAAGACTATTTGAGTCAGGTCACTCTGGTGGATTAATATTGTTAAGACTATTTGAGTCAGGTCACTCTGGTGGATTAATATTGTTAAGACTATTTGAGTCAGGTCACTCTGGTGGATTAATATTGTTAAGACTATTTGAGTCAGGTCACTCTGGTGGATTAATATTGTTAAGACTATTTGAGTCAGGTCACTCTGGTGGATTAATATTGTTAAGACTATTTGAGTCAGGTCTGGTGGATTAATATTGTTAAGACTATTTGAGTCAGGTCACTCTGGTGGATTAATATTGTTAAGACTATTTGAGTCAGGTCAATCTGGTGGATTAATATTGTTAAGACTATTTGAGTCAGGTCACTCTGGTGGATTAATATTGTTAAGACTATTTGAGTCAGGTCACTCTGGTGGATTAATATTGTTAAGACTATTTGAGTCAGGTCACTCTGGTGGATTAATATTGTTAAGACTATTTGAGTCAGGTCACTCTGGTGGATTAATATTGTTAAGACTGTTTGAGTCAGGTCACTCTGGTGGATTAATATTGTTAAGACTATTTGAGTCAGGTCACTCTGGTGGATTAATATTGTTAAGACTATTTGAGTCAGGTCACTCTGGTGGATTAATATTGTTAAGACTATTTGAGTCAGGTCACTCTGGTGGATTAATATTGTTAAGACTATTTGAGTCAGGTCACTCTGGTGGATTAATATTGTTAAGACTATTTGAGTCAGGTCACTCTGGTGGATTAATATTGTTAAGACTATTTGAGTCAGGTCACTCTGGTGGATTAATATTGTTAAGACTATTTGAGTCAGGTCACTCTGGTGGATTAATATTGTTAAGACTATTTGAGTCAGGTCACTCTGGTGGATTAATATTGTTAAGACTATTTGAGTCAGGTCACTGGTGGATTAATACTGTTAAGACTATTTGAGTCAGGTCACTCTGGTGGATTAATACTGTTAAGACTATTTGAGTCAGGTCACTCTGGTGGATTAATATTGTTAAGACTATTTGAGTCAGGTCACTCTGGTGGATTAATATTGTTAAGACTATTTGAGTCAGGTCACTCTGGTGGATTAATACTGTTAAGACTATTTGAGTCAGGTCACTCTGGTGGATTAATATTGTTAAGACTGTTTGAGTCAGGTCACTCTGGTGGATTAATATTGTTAAGACTATTTGAGTCAGGTCACTCTGGTGGATTAATATTGTTAAGACTATTTGAGTCAGGTCACTCTGGTGGATTAATATTGTTAAGACTGTTTGAGTCAGGTCACTCTGGTGGATTAATATTGTTAAGACTATTTGAGTCAGGTCACTCTGGTGGATTAATACTGTTAAGATTATTTGAGTCAGGTCACTCTGGTGGATTAATATTGTTAAGACTATTTGAGTCAGGTCACTCTGGTGGATTAATATTGTTAAGACTATTTGAGTCAGGTCACTCTGGTGGATTAATATTGTTAAGACTATTTGAGTCAGGTCACTCTGGTGGATTAATATTGTTAAGACTATTTGAGTCAGGTCACTCTGGTGGATTAATATTGTTAAGACTATTTGAGTCAGGTCACTCTGGTGGATTAATATTGTTAAGACTATTTGAGTCAGGTCACTCTGGTGGATTAATATTGTTAAGACTATTTGAGTCAGGTCACTCTGGTGGATTAATATTGTTAAGACTATTTGAGTCAGGTCACTCTGGTGGATTAATATTGTTAAGACTATTTGAGTCAGGTCACTGGTGGATTAATACTGTTAAGACTATTTGAGTCAGGTCACTCTGGTGGATTAATACTGTTAAGACTATTTGAGTCAGGTCACTCTGGTGGATTAATATTGTTAAGACTATTTGAGTCAGGTCACTCTGGTGGATTAATATTGTTAAGACTATTTGAGTCAGGTCACTCTGGTGGATTAATATTGTTAAGACTATTTGAGTCAGGTCACTCTGGTGGATTAATATTGTTAAGACTATTTGAGTCAGGTCACTCTGGTGGATTAATATTGTTAAGACTATTTGAGTCAGGTCATTCTGGTGGATTAATATTGTTAAGACTATTTGAGTCAGGTCACTCTGGTGGATTAATATTGTTAAGACTATTTGAGTCAGGTCACTCTGGTGGATTAATATTGTTAAGACTATTTGAGTCAGGTCACTCTGGTGGATTAATATTGTTAAGACTATTTGAGTCAGGTCACTCTGGTGGATTAATATTGTTAAGACTATTTGAGTCAGGTCACTCTGGTGGATTAATACTGTTAAGACTATTTGAGTCAGGTCACTCTGGTGGATTAATATTGTTAAGACTATTTGAGTCAGGTCACTGGTGGATTCACTAGAATGCATAATGCTTGGATGGATGAATGCCTTTTTATAAAACCAGTGCAGTGTATCCCCACGTGGGGCTGAAATTGTTGTGTCGGACATGATCAAATGCAATGTATCTATCTGTCAGATCCCCCAGTGGTGTGCAGAGTTCTGCCTGTCAGCCCAGTACCAGCATGGCATGGCAGTGTGTACCCAGATCCACACACAGCAGACAGTAGACCTGGCCCTCAGGGTGGCTGATGAGATGGACGTCAACATTGGACATGAAGTGGGCTACACCATCCCTCTGGAGACATGCTGCTCCACTGACACTGTGCTCAGGTCTGGATCTAACACACACACAGACACACACACACAGACACACACACACAGACACACACACACACACACACACACACACACACACACACACACACACACACACACACACACACACACACACACAGACACAGACACAGACACACACACACACACACAGACACAGACACAGACATAGAGAGAGTATTGTACAACTAACCTTGTGTGGACACAAGATTCAGTCCCATTCGAAATCCTATTTTCTCTAACCCCTAAACCTAAACCTAACTCTAACCCCTAAACCTAACTCTAACCCTTAACTTAACCCCAAAACCTAACCCTTAAACTAACCCTAGCTCCTAACCCTAAACCTAATTCTAACACTAATTCTAACCTTAACCCTAAACCACCTTGAAATAGCATTTGACCTTGTGGGGACTAACAAAATGTCCCCAGTTGGTAACATTTTTGTTTGTTTACTATTTTGTGGGGACTTCTGTTATAGTTACACACACACACACACACACACACACACACACACACACACACACACACACACACACACACACAGGGCTACACCATCCCCCTGGAGACACGCTGCTCCATCACAGGGCTACACCATCCCCCTGGAGACATGCTGCTCCATCACAGGGCTACACCATCCCCCTGGAGACACGCTGCTCCATCACAGGGCTACACCATCCCCCTGGAGACATGCTGCTCCATCACAGGGCTACACCATCCCCCTGGAGACATGCTGCTCCATCACAGGGCTACACCATCCCCCTGGAGACATGCTGCTCCATCACAGGGCTACACCATCCCCCTGGAGACATGCTGCTCCATCACAGGGCTACACCATCCCCCTGGAGACATGCTGCTCCATCACAGGGCTACACCATCCCCCTGGAGACATGCTGCTCCATCACAGGGCTACACCATCCCCCTGGAGACATGCTGCTCCATCACAGGGCTACACCATCCCCCTGGAGACATGCTGCTCCATTGACACTGTGCTCATGTCTGCTTCTCACCAAGGCTTTACTGTTTATTTTGATTTTGATTTATTTCACCTTTATTTAACCAGGTAAGAAGCCAGTTGAGAACAAGTTCTCATTTCCAACTGCGACCTGGCCAAGATAAAGCAAAGCAGTGCGATTTAAAAACAACAACACATAGTTACATATGGGGTAAAACAAAACATAAAGTCAAAAAATACAACAGAAAATATATATACAGTGTGTGCAAAATGTAGTAAGTTATGGAGGTAAGGCAATAAATAGGCCATAGTGCAAAAATAGTTATGATTTCGTATGAACACCGGAATGATAGATGTGCTGTCCAGCCAGTCATTAGCTGCAGGTCTGGCACACGTGTTTATCACGTTTCAGATGGTTTGCACACACGCAAAGATTACATGCCAACGCAAACTCGATCACACACGTATGTAATTCCCACTACCCTCTTCCCCCGTCTCTCTCACCCTCACGACAGACAGGCAGACAGTCATTATGTGTCTGCTAGCACACAGATGCTAAATGTCATCCTCACACATGTGAATGAACCCATCACGGCTGCCGACAGACAGGGACATCATCTATTGCTGTGTCATTATGTGTCTGCTAGCACACAGATGCTAAATGTTTCACTGTAGTAACACGTTGTGACATGTTGCAGGGAGGTAATGTACCAAGGGGTCACATTCAGACAGTGGGGTGGGCTCCTGACAAAACAGCTTTCCATTTTCATATCGTCCTTGATGTAGTTGTGGTAGGCTAATCAATTATTTAAATAATCGTGATGTTTCTACTCTGTTATTGTCCGATTTAAATGACAGGCTACAGTAATAATCTCCCTGCCAAACAGCAGCTGTGGAAAGATCAATTCTACGGGATGTTGACATTGGCACCGTTAGTTAAGTCGGATCAGAGAGTTGGGACAGTGAGGTTTCTGCATTAGGATGCATTTACACACTACAACATTCTATGGCAGCCATATTAACGTTCCATTAGTTAACTCTGATGATCTCTGTTCGTCCTGCTCCAGGGACTGCACGGATGCTGCTGAGGGAGATGATGTCTCAATAACCACACTAGCATACTACTACTAGCATCCATAGACAATACATCTCTATATACTAAGTAGCATGCAAGTATGAACACTACATGACCAAAAGAATGTGGACACCTGCTCGTCGAACATCTCATTCCCCAAAATCATGGGCATTAATATGGAGTTGGTCCCCCCCCCCCCCCCCTTGCTGCTATAACAGCCTCCACTCTTCTGGGAAGGCTTTCCACTAGATGTTGGAACATTGCTGCTGGGGACTTGCTTCTATTCAGCCACAAGAGCATTAGTGAGGTTGGACACTGATGTTGGGCGATTAGGCCTGGCTCGCAGCCGACATTCCAATTCATCCCAAAGGTGTTCGATGGGGTTGAGGTCAGGGCTCTGTGCAGGCCAGTCAAGTTCTTCCACACCAATCTCGACAAACCATTTCTCTATGGACCTCGCTTTGTGCACGAGGGCATTGTCATGCTGAAAAAGGAAATGTCCTTCCCCAAACTTTTTCCCCAAAATTGGAAGCACAGAATCGTCTAGAATGTAATTGTATGCTGTAGCATTAAGATTTCCGTTCACTGGAAGTAAAGGGCCTAGCCCGAACCATGAGAAACAGCCCCAGACCATTATTCCTCCTCCACCAAACTTTACAGTTGGCACTATGCATTGGGGCAGGTAGCGTTCTCCTGGCATCCACCAAACCCAGATTCGTCCGTCGGACTGCCAGATGGTGAAGCGTGATTCATCACTCCGGAGAACACGTTTCCACTGCTCCAGAGTCCAATGGCGGTGAGCTTTACACCACTCCAGCCAACGCTTGGCATTGCGCATGGTGATCTTAGGCTTGTGTGCGGCTGCTCGGCCATGGAAACCCATTTCATAAAGCTCCCGACAAACAGTTATTGTGCTGACGTTGCTTCCAGAGGCAGTTTGGAACTCGGTAGTGAGTATTGCAACTGAGGACAGACGATGTTTACGCGATACGCACTCCAGCACTCGGTGGTCCCGTTCTGTGAGCTTGTGAGGCCTACCACTTCACGGCTGAGCCGTTGTTGCTCCTAGACGTTTCCACTTCACAATAACAGCACTTACAGTTGACCGGGCAGCTCTAGCAGGGCAGGAATTTGACGAACTGACTTGTTGGAAAGGTGGCATCCTATGACGGTGCCACGTTGAAAGTCACTGAGCTCTTCAGTAAGGCCATTCCACTGACAATGTTTGTCAGATTGCATGGCTGTGTGCTCGATTTTATACACCTGTCGGCAACGGGTGTGGCTGAAATCGCCGAATCCACTAATTTGAAGGGGCGTCCACATACTTTTGTGTGTATATATAGTGTATATCGGCACTCACTTCTGGTCTCCACGCTCCATACTGGCATTGAGTGCATAGTGTGTATTGAACAAAATTGAAAGATGTTACCGCCTGCATCATTAGTTAACTCAGTTCTGGTCCCACTCCAGGTTCTGTACGGATGCCCTGCTGCTGCGGGAGATGATGTCTGACCCCATGTTGGAGCACTACGGGGCCATCGTCATCGACCAGGCTCACGAGAGGACCGTCAGCACAGACGTACTGCTGGGACTGCTCCGGGTATGGTGGGAATGACGTGGCGCTTTCTCTCTTAAGTGGTATTCAGCATAATAGTATCTGTTGGATTATATACATACGTCTATTTTAGGGGTATTCCAGAAAGCAGGATTAAGGAGTGAGCAAGATCATTTTTAGTCAGATCTCAAGTGAACTCAGAGCTTCAGAGAGAGAAGAGCTGAAGGTATAGCCAGATCAGAAACCACAGAAGAAAAAAATACCACCTCTGAATTTATGTTAATCTACACTGATTGATGTTGATTCCTAGTAACATTAGTTTGTTGCATGTCAATCAAGTTTTGTGATTGTGCAGGACATCCTGGTCCACAGACCAGACCTGAGGGCGGTGATCCTGACGGTGTCCTCCATGACAGACAGGCTCCTGGCCCACTATGGTTAGTGAAACGGCCATCTTTAAATGGGAAAAGATGCACTTAGTAACAACCCAGGAGAATAGCACATGGTCCCCCGTTGTTGTATTATCAGATGATTAGAAGAATGGAGGTTGTGGCATCTTATATTATTTAATGAACTTTACTGAAGGCACTGTGGGGATAGCTACATACATGGTATTATTTATTGAACTTTACTGACGGCACTGTGGGGATAGCTACATACATGGTATTATTTATTGAACTTTACTGACGGCACTGTGGGGATAGCTACATACATGGTATTATTTATTGAACTTTACTGACGGCACTGTGGGGATAGCTACATACATGATATTATTTATTGAACTTTACTGAAAGCACTGTGGGGATAGCTACATACATGATATTATTTAATGAACTTTACTGAAAGCACTGTGGGGATAGCTACATACATGATATTATTTATTGAACTTTACTGAAGGCACTGTGGGGATAGCTACATACATGATATTATTTATTGAACTTTACTGAAAGCACTGTGGGGATAGCTACATACATGATATTATTTAATGAACTTTACTGAAAGCACTGTGGGGATAGCTACATACATGATATTATTTATTGAACTTTACTGAAGGCACTGTGGGGATAGCTACATACATGATATTATTTATTGAACTTTACTGAAAGCACTGTGGGGATAGCTACATACATGATATTATTTATTGAACTTTACTGAAAGCACTGTGGGGATAGCTACATACATGATATTATTTATTGAACTTTACTGAAAGCACTGTGGGGATAGCTACATACATGATATTATTTATGGAACTTTACTGAAATCACTGTGGGGATACTTTGTTGATCGCTAGCTCCCTAGAGCATGAGTAAAACATGGAATGGAGTTGTGAGTATTTCAGTTATCAATATAATGGTAACATGGAATGGACTAACAGTGATGTCCTCTCCATTCCAGGTAGTAGCGTCCCGGTGGTCAGGCTGGAAGCCCTCTGTCCAGCTGAGGTCGTGTACAGGACCTGCAGTAGTAAGGACTATTTCTACTCTGCTCTAAGAATGGTGCTGGAGATCCACCGCACCGAGGAGGAAGGAGATGTAGCGTTGTTCTTGGCCTCAGCTCAGGTGAGACAATTTACACAGTTCAACAGTGATCTCGTGGGCAGATTTCGTCCGTAACTTGATTACTTGCTTGTTTTTGGTGGTGCTATGCACTGAATGATGGCATGCCATAGCTCTCTGGCCTTAAGTAGGCGCTCTGTCCTTGCAGAATCTCTCTCAGAATGTTCTATTTTTTATTGTGTGTGGTGCATACTTGTCTCGATTGAATTTAGATGGCAAAGCAACATTCCAGATCCTGTCCCCGTCTCGTGTTTTATTTTGACTGCTTAGCCTTTATTTGCTTTAGTGTGTTTGACTGATGGCTCGTGGTCTGTTGGAATGACAAAGCGTTTTGAAAGGCCTGTTGTCCCTGCCCATATACATGACAATGAGCTTAAAGCCTGTCAATAGGGATGTCAACTCAGCCTTTTCTATTGATGGGTCTGCTTGCAAAATGTGTTAACTATTTATTACATGATAAGCCCTCTCTTCCCGTCACGTTGAACCATCCAGGCTGGGGTGTAATGGTCATGTAGCAAGCCCTCTCTTCCAAGCCCTCTCTTCCAAGCCCTCTCTTCCCTTCACGTTCTCCAGGCTGGGGTATAATGGTCATGTAGCAAGCCCTCTCTTCCCTTCACGTTCTCCAGGCTGGGGTATAATGGTCATGTAGCAAGCCCTCTCTTCCCGTCACGTTCTCCAGGCTGGGGTATAATGGTCATGTAGCAAGCCCTCTCTTCCCTTCACGTTCTCCAGGCTGGGGTATAATGGTCATGTAGCAAGCCCTCTCTTCCAAGCCCTCTCTTCCAAGCCCTCTCTTCCCTTCACGTTGAACCCTCCAGGCTGGGGTATAATGGTCATGTAGCAAGCCCTCTCTTCCAAGCCCTCTCTTCCAAGCCCTCTCTTCCAAGCCCTCTCTTCCAAGCCCTCTCTTCCCTTCACGTTGAACCCTCCAGGCTGGGGTATAACACTATTATCCAAAGAGCCTCACGGTATACATTTTAGGCATGTGATCCCTGCAGGATTTGAACCCATGACCTTGGCGTTGCTAGGCTAGCCAGTGGCCACACAGGACTAGTCGTACGGTGCTGGCAACACTTCTCACACTGTGTTTCCCCCTCCCACAGGAGATCGTCTGTGCCCGTGCTATCCTCCAGAGAGAAGGTACCAGACTGGGGGCAGACCTGGGGGAGCTGGTGCCCGTGGTCTTGTGCCCTGGGCAGGGTGGGCAGGGCCAGGCACCCCATCTCCTGGGAGAGGGGATGGTGGGTAGGGGAACAGTTAGGACCAGGGGCCGGAGAGTATTCCTCTCTACCCGTCAGGGAGAGGACATGTTCTGGAATGTGGACCCCGTTAACTTTGTCATCGACGCAGGAGTGGAGAAAAGATGTGTGAGTTTAATCCCCAGTACAGGAAATATAATACAAGCGTTGCATGTTAGTTTAGAAATGTAAGGCAAGGCTATGGCCATACATATCCTATTAAATAGTTATAATATGTCATTCTATGGAAATGACTAACCTGTCTTTTTTTTAAAATGTATTATTTAAACCAGGTGTATAATCCCAGGATAAGGGCCAACTCTGAAGTACTACGATCCATCAGCAGATCCCAGGCAGACATCAGAAAGCAGCTGACTGGACCAACAGGTACTGACATCAGGAAGCAGCTGACTGGACCCAACAGGTACTGACATCAGGAAGCAGCTGACTGGACCAACAGGTACTGACATCAGGAAGCAGCTGACTGGGTCCAACAGGTACTGACATCAGGAAGCAGCTGACTGGACCAACAGGTACTGACATCAGGAAGCAGCTGACTGGACCAACAGGTACTGACATCAGGAAGCAGCTGACTGGACCAACAGGTACTGACATCAGGAAGCAGCTGACTGGTCCCAACAGGTACTGACATCAGGAAGCAGCTGACTGGACCCAACAGGTACTGACATCAGGAAGCAGCTGACTGGGCCCAACAGGTACTGACATCAGGAAGCAGCTGACTGGACCCAACAGGTACTGACATCAGGAAGCAGCTGACTGGACCCAACAGGTACTGACATCAGGAAGCAGCTGACTGGTCCAACAGGTACTGACATCAGGAAGCAGCTGACTGGACCAACAGGTACTGACATCAGGAAGCAGCTGACTGGACCAACAGGTACTGACATCAGGAAGCAGTTGACTGGGCCCAACAGGTACTGACATCAGGAAGCAGCTGACTGGACCCAACAGGTACTGACATCAGGAAGCAGCTGACTGGACCAACAGGTACTGACATCAGGAAGCAGCTGACTGGGCCCAACAGGTACTGAGATCAGGAAGCAGCTGACTGGACCAACAGGTACTGACATCAGGAAGCAGCTGACTGGGACCAACAGGTACTGACTACCTCTCATCTCTCCTTGATGTGAATCAGTTGACTTGCATCGCTTGTTGGTTAGAACAGGGCTTCCCAAACTCTTTCACTCTGGGCCCCCTTCCAGCATTGGGGAACATCCTGCGCCGCGCCGTGCCTGTCCCTATGGGCACAAGCACTGATCATGACACACACGGTTCACACCCCTCTTGGCACTGATCATGACACACACGGTTCCCACCCCTCTTGGCACTGATCATGACACACACGGTTCACACCCCTCTTGGCACTGATCATGACACACACGGTTCACACCCCTCTTGGCACTGATCATGACACACACGGTTCCCACCCCTCTTGGCACTGATCATGACACACACGGTTCCCACCCCTCTTGGCACTGATCATGACACACACGGTTCCCACCCCTCTTGGCACTGATCATGACACACACGGTTCACACCCCTCTTGGCACTGATCATGACACACACGGTTCCCACCCCTCTTGGCACTGATCATGACACACACGGTTCCCACCCCTCTTGGCACTGATCATGACACACACGGTTCACACCCCTCTTGGCACTGATCATGACACACACGGTTCCCACCCCTCTTGGCACAATCATGACACACACCTGTGTCATGATCAGCAATTCTACACCTGTTGTCACGGGGGGTGCAGAGAAAATGTTGCCGTTTTTTTAAAGCTAATTTTCTTGCAATTCTATACATTTTGCCATGTCTAATGTGTATTCATGTGAGTGACTAAAAAATTACAACAAGAGGAACAATGGTGCACTGCCCAATTTCGAAATTGCACCTTGTGCATTCTACTATTACATCTTTCAACAGTAAGTTTAAAACATATATACTGTATGTATATATATATATATATATATATATTATTTTTTATTTTTTTATTTTTTTTGGGGGGGGGGTGGTGGGGGGGGGACCCCCCTGCCGACCCCTCCCGCCCCACAGTTTGGGAACCACTGGGTTAGATAGCCTATATATTGGTTTTCAATAATGTTCTTCTGCCTCTACATTGCTGGCTCTTTGGGGTTTCAGGCTGGGTATCTGTAAAGCGCTCTGTGATAACTGCTGATGTAAGAAGGGCTTTATCAAATAAATGTTATTGAAAAACTACATTTGATTGATTTATGTTGGAGGTAGTAACATTGTCTGTCTGTGTTTTGTCCAGGGAAGTGCTTCTGCCTGTACCCTGAGGATCGAGTTCTCCCCGTAGAGACGTCCCCTCAGATCCTGGAGACAAACCTCACCTCCACCATCCTCTTCCTCAAGAGGATGAAGATCGCAGGGCTGGGACACTGTGACTTCATCACCAGACCAGGTCAGCCTACCAGACAGACATTCTACATGGTACATTAGTAGAACAGTGGTTCTCAACCTGGGTACTAGGTCCCCTAGGGGTACATAGCCTATCCACAGGGGGTACTTGGGAAGACTCATAAATCGCCCAGAAGTCTGTCATAGACTCCCATGTAAAATCTATTTTTTTCAAATATCAGAGCTTTCAATACAATCTCTATGGGTTTCTGAGGGCTTGCACTTACGCGCTTTCGTCATACGTAACATAACCATGAACGTAACTAAGAAAAGAGCGGGGAACTAACCTTGCAGATAGCATTACTGGGTGATCTGAAAAGTCATAGTCAATCAATCAATAATATAATAATACTTTTAGCAAAAATGTTTATTTTTAATTCACAATCTGTAGAAGCAATGAGAATAGAAAGGTTCAGAACTTTTGTAAAACATCACAGTATGGTTGAAATATATATGGCAAATAGAAATCCTATATGGATGGTGTTAAGAGATAGATGGGAGGTATTGAATAGAGTTGAAGGATGGGACTAATAACAAATAACAACAAATAATAACAAAGATAGCTAATAATGTAAGCATACTGTGTCCATAATAAGTATATAGGTTGTATGTTGGGAGCTTTTGGGAAAGAGCACAGTTAGAAAGATATGGCATTTAGAAGCAAACCGGATGGACATCATGAAAATGATCGGAGAGGTTGAGAGTAGAAGAAGTTCAGGAGCAAAAAAATAAATATATGTATGTATATATATATATATATATATATATATATATATATATATATATAGAATTATTGTAAAATTAACTCTGTCCATAAGGTGTAGATAGTAAGTATAGACCGGAAGTAGAGGCCTGGGCGTTGTTGTTCACTAATTTACTCCAAGTAGGGAAAGGATGGTGGGGTTGAAAAGTAATAAAGGGGAATATATATATAAAAAATAAAAAAAAACATGGGGGATTGGAAGTGATGCAGACAATTACATTGATAGAATATACAATCTATCTGCAATATTAAGCTGATCCATCCCCCCCCCCCCCCCCCCAAAAAAAAGAAAAAAAAAAAAAAAAAAAGAGCGGGTAGCCTCGTCAATCAATTCACTACTACTATCAAAATGGCTAGGCTTCAGTGCAACTCGATTGTGTCTTTGAAAGAAGTTCCTTTTTGTCGGCGAACAAATGAAGATAAATTGGCAACGAAACAATTAGGACCTCCCAGACCAAATTTAATAATTCAACAGGTTTCTACTAAAGGGGGGAAGTCCTACACCCGAGGATTTTCCAAAAATTGGTACGAACGAAAAACCTGGCTAGCAGGCTGCGATGTAGCTAATGCAGTCTTCTGCTACCCCCTGCTTACCTCTTTCACCCTGAAGGCGGCACGGCAGACAGCACCGCTTGGACAGCGACTGGTGTGTAACGGACATGCACCATCTTTCAGGGAAGATTAAGAAACATGAGCTGTCAAAGACCCACATGGATAGCTGTTTGAGATTGTCTGCTTTGGGGAGAGTGAACATTCCCACTCAACTGGATGAGGGATACAGGCTAGCTGTCCGCCGCCACAACGATGAGGTTAGTGTTGATAATCACAAGTTTACTGGAGAACTGAAACTGACAAGGCTGACAAGATAGGATAGACCATAGTTACTGGTAAAATGGACATAAGGGGGTACTTCAGGGCTACTCCGGGCAGAGCAGAATGTACTTGGTGGTACAGTAACCAAAAAAGGTTAAGAACCAAACTACCAATCCCACACAATCAATCAATCATCAATCAAATGTATCTATAAAGCCCTTTTTACATCAGCAGATGTCACCGAGTGCTTATACAGAAACCCAGCCTAAAACCCCAAACAGCAAGCAATGCAGATGTAGAAGCACGACTAGAAACCCCTTTAGAAACCCTGGTTGTACCCTGAGTCTTGTCTGCAGTGTATTTGGGTCTTCCCAGGTTATCAGACTCTGGTCGGGAGGTGAGTCTGACCACAGAGATCCTATTAAATGAAATGTGTTATAATATGTAATTATATGGATCTGACCCTGTATAACGTGTGCTGTAACCAAGGGTTTACAAACTGCCAGCAACTTTCCCCAAAATTCCCAGGTTTTTCCAGAAAATCAGGAGGGAATCAGCAGGGAATCCGGAATCCTCCAACCAGGATTTTCTGGAAGACCTGGGGGCATTTTGGGGAAGGTTAACCAGAATGTTGCAACCCTAGCTATAACTGTAGAGGGGTACAGGGTACAGGAGGGTTTTTGGGGGCCTGGGTAGAGTGTGGCCAGATGGGGGGGGGCTGTATGCCGTATGCCGTGCTCTGTCCTGTTTAGACCCAGTCAGCCATGCTTTAGTAGAGGTGACAGCGGGCTGCCAGGGACCATTGTCTGAGAGCCCCGACCCACCCGGCTGTCCCTGCATGGGAAGAGCTGAGGACAAGTCGCCATCTGCATCCCTAATGGCACCCCTATTCCCTATATAGTGCACTACTCTGGTCTAAAGTAGTGCACTATATAGGGAATAAGGTGCCATTTGGGACGCGCCCGACGGTGGTAAAGAGGCGACGGTGTAAAGAGGCCAGCTCGTTAATCGTTACACCAGTAACGTGTCTCGTTAGGCCATTTGACCGCACCTCCACAATGAGGAGGAAGTAGAATCCTGTCCACAGTTCTACTGGAACACACTAGGCTACACTCCTGGATGAACCATCGGAGCCAGGCTCTTTTCAGCAATACGGTTTCGTACTGCTTATGTATTCTATGTCTTTTGACGTGTGGCATTTTTATTTTGTAGCTACATTAACATGGAGTGACGGGTTACAGTAAGACCCACTATCTCTTGAGGAGCTGAGCATGAGAAAACACTATATGATCATAATCCAAAGCATCAACTGACAAGTCATTTTGTTAAACAGGTGTTTTGCTCAGTATTTTCTCTGTTGAATATCTCTATTCTCTCTTTTTTATTATCTATGATGTAAAGGATGATCTACTTCCCATCCAGATCTTCTCTCTTTTTTTATTATCTATGATGTAAAGGATGATCTACTTCCCATCCAGATCTTCTCTCTGTATTATCTATGATGTAAAGTATGATCTACTTCCCATCCAGATCTTCTCTCTGTATTATCTATGATGTAAAGGATGATCTACTTCCCATCCAGATCTTATCTCTGTATTATCTATGATGTAAAGGATGATCTACTTCCCATCCAGATCTTCTCTCTGTATTATCTATGATGTAAAGGATGATCTACTTCCCATCCAGATCTTCTCTCTTTATTATCTATGATGTAAAGGATGATCTACTTCCCATCCAGATCTTCTCTCTGTATTATCTATGATGTAAAGGATGATCTACTTCCCATCCAGATCTTCTCTCTGTATTATCTATGATGTAAAGGATGATCTACTTCCCATCCAGATATTCTCTCTGTATTATCTATGATGTAAAGGATGATCTACTTCCCATCCAGATCTTCTCTCTGTATTATCTATGATGTAAAGGATGATCTACTTCCCATCCAGATCCTGAGGGTCTGATGCAGGCACTAGAGGAACTGGATTACCTTGCGGCATTGGACGACGATGGGAACCTATCAGAGATCGGGATCATTATCTCTGAGTTGCCATTGGACGCTCAGATGGCCAAGGCTCTGCTGGCGTCCTGTGAGTTTGATTGTGTGAGCGAGGTGGTGACCATCGCAGCTATGCTGTCAGGTATGTAGCTTACACTCGTACAACCTTTTGGCCCATTTATTCATTCAGGGTGGATCGCACCAACGTTGATTAACTCTTAACATGGGTTTAATCAAGGTTTTTCTAGTAATGGTGTTGCACCGAACTTTAAACCTAGTTTTAAACTAAGCATAGTTCAATCAAATCCTTCTTCTACACTACGTTTTTTCATTTTGAATTCAAACCAAGATCAAATGTAATGTTGTTGCTTCATTGTTTTAAAAACTAGTTTAAATTTAGATTTGGGATTAAATATAAACTGCCACTGCAGGAGGTTTAAATTAATCAAATATCGGTGTATGTGCTTTATTTTCGGTGTGATTAACAATTTTATCTCCTGTGGTTTATCATGTTTGTAAAACTCAACTAGCCAGCTAAATCATTTGACAGAAAAGTGCAATTAATTTCATCTTTAGCCTGAAGTGAAAAGTAACTTTGCTGGCTAGCTAGCAATAACCAGTGCTCTGATTTGTTTCCATAGAATTACAACATTGCTATGGGGAATCCATTAAGACACGTGTCACTGATCATAGTTTAGTGATTTAACCTTAGATGAACTAACCCAGTCTTAAAATTAAGTGGTGCAACACATCTCTGATGAATTATAAACCTAGATTTAGAAAGTCTAGATTAGGTCTAATCTAAGATTGATTTAAACCATGTTGGTGCAACACACCCCCAGTGTCTTGTAAAGGAGGTAACCCTCACGCTTATGTTTACATCCATAAAGCCTTTATAACCTCTACATAAGACATTATAATATGCATCATAAGCAGTCTTAACCATTATGAACAACTACATCGGCATCTCTGACCTTTGAATGTATAATCTGCCAGACAGTATTTTGTATTTTTTTTAACCTTTATTTAACCAAGCAAGTCAGTTAAGAACAAATTCTTATTTACAATGACGGCCTACACTGGCCAAACCTGGACGACGCTGGGCCAATTGTGCGCCGCCCTATGGGACTCCCAATCACGGCCGGTTGTCGTCTAAGGCACTATGCAATGCTAGCAGTGCTAGCTGTGCCACTAGAGATCCTGGTTCGAATCCAGGCTCTGTCGTAGCCGGCCGCGACCGGGAGACCCATGGGGCGGCGCACAATTGGCCCAGCGTCGTCCAGGGTAGGGGAGGGAATGGCTGGCAGGGATGTAGCTCAGTTGGTAGAGCATGGCGTTTGCAACGCCAGGGTTGTGGGTTCGATTCCCACGGGGGGCCAGTATGAATTATTATTATTATTTTTTTTATGTATGCACTCACTAACTGTAAGTTGCTCTGGATAAGAGCGTCTGCTAAATGACTAAAAATGTAAATGTAAAATGAATCGAACCAGGGGGTCTGTAGTGACGCCTCAAGCACTGAGATGCAGTGCCTTAGACCACTGCGCCACTCGGGAGTATGATCTGCCATATGGACATAGTCTAGTCTCTGAGCATTTGCAGTTGTAGCCTAGACGGCTGCTATTTCTCCCACCCAGACAATGAGCCAGAAGGTACTATACGGGGAGAGTAGCTTGGTCAAACAACGCTAACCTTGTTGATATGTCTGTTTTAGCACCAATGCTAACCTCCCTATTGATTCTCTGTCTGTCTGCGTTAGTGCCACGTTTATTGATTCTCTGTCTGCATTAGTGCCAATGCTAACCTCGCCATTGATTCCCTATCTGCGTTAGCGCCAGTGCTATCCTCCCTATTGATTCTCTGTCTGCGTTAGCGTCAATGCTAACCACCCTATTGATTCTGTCTGTCTGCGTTAGCGCCAATGCTAACCACCCTATTGATTCTGTCTGTCTGCGTTAGCGCCAAGCTGCTTCCTGGAGCCACCTGTTGGCAGGGCCCAAGAGGCACAACAGTGTCACAGAAAGTTCCAGCACCCTGAGGGAGACCACTTCACCCTCATCAACATCTACAATGCCTTCAAGTACAGCCAGAGAGAGACATGTAAGTCAGTTACATCCCTTCAAATACAGTCAGAGAGAGACATGTACGTTAGTTACATCACTTCAAATACAGTCAGAGAGAGACATGTACGTTAGTTACTTCAAATACAGCCAGAGAGGGAGAGAGACAGTCAGTCACATCCACTGAGCTCAAAAAAGCGTCACATTGTGAATACTTGCCTTCGGAAACTATTCAGACCCCTTGACTTTTTCCAAATTTTGTTAGGTTACAGCCTTATTCTAAAATTGATTAAATTGTTTTTTTCCCCCTCATCAATCTACACATAATACCCCATAATGACAAAGCGAAAACAAGCTTTCAGAATATTTTGCAAATGTATTAAAACTTAAAAACAGAAATACCTTATTTACATAAGTATTCAGATCCTTTGCTATGAGACTTGAAATTGAGCTCGGTTGCATCCTGTTTCCATTGATCATTCTTGAGATGTTTCTACAACTTGATTGGAGTCCACCTGTGGTAAATTCAATTGATTGGACACGATTTGGAAAGGCACACACCTGTCTATATAAGGTCCCACAGATGACAGTGCATCTCAGAGCAAAAACCAAGCCATGAGGTCGAAGGAATTGTCCGTAGAGCTCCGAGACAGGATTGTATCGAGGCACAGATCTGGGGAAGGGTACCAAAAAATGTCTGCAGCATTGAAGGTCCCCAAAAACCACAGTGGCCTCCATCATTCTTAAATGGAAGAAGTTTGGAACCACCAAGACTCTTCCTAGAGCTGGCCGCCCGGGCAAACTGAGCAATCGAGGGAGAAGGGCCTTGGTCAGGGAGGTGACCAAGAACCCGATGGTCACTCTGAGAGAGCTCTATAGTTCATCTGTGGAGATGGGAGAACCTTCCAGAAGGACAACTATCTCTGCAGCACTCCACCAATCAGGCCTTGATGGTAGAGTGGCCAGACGGAAGCCACTCCTCAGTAGAAAGGCACATGAAAGCCCGCTTGGAGTTTGCCAAAAGGCACCTAAAGGACTCTCAGACCATGAGAAACAAGATTCTCTGGTCTGATGAAACCAAGATTGAACTCTTTGGCCTGAATGCAAAGCGTCACGTCTGGAGGAAACCTGGCACCATCCGTACGGTGAAGCATGGTGGTGGCAGCATCATGCTGTGGGAATGTTTTTCAACTGCAGGGACTGGGAGACTAGTCAGGATCAAGGGAAAAATGAACGGAGCAAAGTATAGAGAGATCCTTGATGAAAACCTGCTCCAGAGCACTCAGTACCTCAGACTGGGGCGAAGGTTCACCTTCCAACAGGACAACGACCCTAAGCACACAGCCAAGACAACACAGGAGTGGCTTCGGGATAAGTCTCTGAATGTCCTTGAGTGGCCCAGCCAGAGCCTGGACTTGAACCCGATCGAACATCTCTGGAGAGACCTGAAAATAGCTGTGCAGCTACGCTCCCCATCCAACCTGACAGAGCTTAAAAGGATCTGCAGAGAAGAATGGGAGAAACTCCCCAAATACAGGTGTGCCAAGCTTGTAGCGTCATACCCAAGAAGACTCTAGGCTGTAATCGCTGCTAAATGTGTTTCAACAAAGTACTGAGTAAATGGTCTGAATACTTATGTAAATGTGATATTTCCATTTTTTATTTTTTATAAATTTGCTAAAAATTCTACAAACCTGTTTTTGCTTTGTCATTATGGGGTATTGTGTGTAGATTGATGAGGGAAAAAAACTATTTAATCAATTTTAGAAGAAGGCTGTAAAGTAAGAAAATGTGGTAAAGTCAAGGTGTCTGAATACTTTCCGAATGCACTGTATGCATATATATGTATGTATAAACGGAATTGTATTCTATTTGAGTCAGTTGTATTCTATTTGATTCAATTGTATTCTATTTGATTCAATTGTATTCTATTTGATTCAATTGTATTCTATTTTATTCAATTGTATTATTTTTGATTCAATTGTATTCTATTTGATTCTATTCTCTTCTCCTCACTTGTATCTGAATCTTTCTTCCTGTTGTGATATTATTCCCTCAGACTTCAGTGTAGAGAAGTGGTGTCAGGACTGCCACCTAAACCACAGTGCCCTTCAGACGGCAGACTCCATCAGGTCAGAGCTGACTGACATCCTGAAGAGAATAGAGCTGCCAATCTCTGAGACGTCCTTCGGGACCAAGACCAACACACTCAACGTCAAGAGAGCTCTGCTGGCAGGGTTCTTCATGCAGGTCGGTGGACAATGCAGACCGTGGCGCTAGTGTAAAGGACGTCCCACTGCTTGCTTAGCGTGTACCGTTTCCTCCTGATTCGACTCATACCGGGGTTCGAACCTAGATACCCATCTGCTACATTAGCAACACCAAGGTTCAACTCCTGAAGGGATCACATACACATTAAACATCTGAATGAACTCACTGTCCTGTACGGAAGTCACTTTCAATAAAGTCATTTGCTTTAATGGCAAATATGAACTTCCTTTATCCCTGTTTTTAGATTGCCCGTGATGTGGATGGTTCAGGAAACTACTTCATGTTGACACACAGGCACATGGCTCAGGTCCACCCCGCCTCCAGCTATGGGTCCAAGGCACATCAATTGGGTTTGCCAGAGTGGGTGCTGTTCCACGAGTATACTCTCTCAGAAAACAACTGGATCCGGACAGTCTCTGAAATCTCCCCTGCAGTGTAAGTCAATGGCCCAAACCCTACTAAGGCTCTTTCTCAATGCATCTTTCCTTATTCCTCATATCCATTACTTATGTCCTCCTTTCTAACCTTCTCATCCAATGACCCCGAGGTCCCTCCCCCTCTAACCTTCTCATCCAATGACCCCAAGGTCCCTCCCCCTCTAACCTTCTCATCCAATGACCCCGAGGTCCCTCCCCCTCTAACCTTCTCATCCAATGACCCCCGAGGTCCCTCCCCCTCTAACCTTCTCATCCAATGACCCGAGGTCCCTCCCCCTCTAACCTTCTCATCCAATGTCCTGAGGTCCCTCCCCTCTAACCTTCTCATCCAATGCATTTTGAGAAGGAGGCGAGGAGAGGATACAAGGAATCAGGGAACAGGGAAAGAACCCTAGTCTCCATTCCATCAATGCTGCCTGATTTAGTCTGGTTCACTGGGCTCATAATGAATGTTATGTTCCCAACATAAAAACCAGACACTAACATGTTTTTGACTCTAAAGTCAGATTTGTTTTTGATTTGAAATGGGTAATCCTGTATTACAAATCTGCTCCAAAGTAAATTAGACTTCACAACAGGACTTTTGGGTGTGGGTGTTTTGACACTACAAATGGCTAAGTAGATTACAGGAGTCAGTCTGCCTGTTGTGGGAATAGTCAAGTCTATTACAGAAGTGCAGTGTATTCTGTAAGGGCCGATTCCGACCCGAGTTAAAAAGGGTAAATGCAGAGGAATTCCCTTTCTATCCACCTTTCACTCTCTCTGTTTTCCCCCTGATAGAAATAACACCGTTCTCCATGCACTGTAATTTACAACTTGATAAGAGCTATTGATAACAGCTAGGTAAATTAGTAATCAGTTTGGATAAGGTGATTGTAAATATAAATCACACATATATATATATATATTTGACCTTATAATCGCTGGAGACATATGAAACCAGTCATATCGCAGCACACTGAAGCGTATCAACTTTCCCACAGTAAAGTTTATGAAACGCTGTGCCATTTTGCAGAATTTTAATTGTAAAGGCCTTTTAACTTGCGGGGATGGGTACTGTCGAATGTCTTAATTATAGGCGACCCCGACTTTGTCTGTTTCCTATTTCTATCATGTTAAATATGAACCACTATCAGTATGGACCGTCAGTATGCCTAATAACATCACATATTAACTGCCAGTTTACTGTTAGTTCCCTTCAGTTGGTATAATCTACATTATCATTCCATTGTCTCGTTTACCTTCATTTGCTTCCTGTGTAAACGTTGTCATGGCCGTGTGGTTGTTGCTGAGGATCATTAGTAACAGTTCATATAAAAAGACATGTAGGCTAATTAAACCGTTTGAACCCCGACGCATGGCGCAGTACTTGGCCGTGTCGTCACACAGTTCCATGGTTAGTGCAGGCAATAGACGAGGGAGTAGCCTACTATTGGACACTATTCTCCCTATTATAACTCTATGTACACTAATCTTCCAACTGCACCGTGGGTTGAAGAACTGAATGTGGCTATTTTCAGAATGAATCAAAGACGTCTAAATCAAGTTTTTTTTATTTCGTGTGTAAAGGCTCTCCAAACTGTTTATTTTTTATTTTTATGATTGATAAATAATTGGTGCTGAAACTGAGATTTAGACGTCTTTCTTTCATTGATCCCAAATATTCTGAATCCGTTCTCTCTACCTATTCTATTGAGTCTGTCGACAAAATGCTAACTAAAAAGGTACATCGTATTTAAAGGGATGGTTTAAGATAAATGTACTGAAACACACTATTGAATAAAAACTCGACGAGAATCTGTTGGCCAGCAAGTGGGAAGTGGGTTTTCAGCTGTTGGAATGACATTTATTCAGTGCGTGCAAGAGAACCACGCCCGCAAACCTCATTACGCACCTTCATAATGTAAGTCTGAATACCAACTACTGAGAAGTGCATAGGAAAGTCGGAATCGGGCCCTTACAAAAAAAAGTTTTCTGTAATATTAGTGTTGTATTCTCTCTGTAGGTTCATTCAGACGGCCCCACAGTATTTCTTTTACAACCTGCCTTCTAGTGAGAGTAAAGACATACTACAGCACATCCTAGACGGGGACGGATCTGGACATAGTGAAGACAAGAAACGGACCCTGACCATCAACAGTAAAGTGGATAAGGACTGCAGTACACTGGCTCAGTCTTATGACAGATGTGTGCTACAGTGACCTCTGGTGGAGACCTTTTAGCACTGCACTAACCCTTTCTGAAATACAAATCATAGCGGATTAGATCAGCGGTTTTCAAACCCCTTCTCAGGGGACCCCCAGACGTTTTCACAATTTTGTTGTAGCTCTGACCATCTCACCTGATTGACCTCGTGAAGGGCTTGATGATTAGTTGAATCAGGTGTGTTGGCTGTGGAATAGTTAAATACATGGAACAGTTGGGGGTCCAGAGAAGAGGTCGGAGAAGCGCTGGTCTAGCTGTGGAATAGTTAAATACATGGAAACAGTTGGGGGTCCAGAGAAGAGGTCGGAGAAGCGCTGGTCTAGCTGTGGAATAGTTAAATACATGGAAACAGTTGGGGGTCCAGAGAAGAGGTTGGAGAACGTCTGGAGTCCAGAGAAGAGGTTGGAGAACCCCTGTGTTAGATCAACTGCCAAATGACTGACTTGCTGTACAGTATTCTTCATAATTCCGTCAGGTTGTAACTGCCTTTTGTAATTCGATATATTACATTACAGTAAATAAGTTAGTGCACCAATAAATGAATCCAGATAGTCAAATCAGTTTTAACTTAGTCCATCAGAACATCTGATATTCCTTCACAGAAAAATACACAATTTCGTTTTGGAGTTGTCACTTGCTTGATATTGTGTATAAATAGTTTGTACTGAGATGTTAATGTTCATACATCACTATGTTTACCTGAATCTGCAAATAGAGTGCTTTGTACTGTGACCCATGTCTAAAGTGATTTATTTTAGTCAAAAGTACATTTATCTGAAAACTGCTAGATAAACCTCTGGGCTAAAGGGAACCATTACAAACATAATAGCATTGACTTGACATTCTCAGCTAATCAAAAAAAGTATTCCATTGGTCCCCTTCCTTTCGATGTTTATATTGAACTTTACATAATAATCCAGAGGTGTTTAAAAATGATCAGTCTTGTGGTTTACCAGAGTTTATTCTGTATGTGTAGTAGTATCGTTGGTCACACGGTGAGGTATTCTTTGAGCTTGTCCATGATGGCTGACATCCTGTCTGCTGGGATGAGCATCACAGTACGCTGCGGCTTCATGGGGACGTCGTCGAAGGACCACCGCCCGCTCAGAACAGAGTCCGTCTCGTCCTGCACCGAGTAGTGGAACTTCATGGTGGCTTGCTGTAGTGGGGACATTGGGGAAAATGGAGAAATGGTTAAGGAAGTGAAAGGACAATTAAGCCATTTAACTCACCAACTGTAGATTGAGTCATAAAACTAGGATTACTTGAAGAGGTTATGAATAGTGGCCAGGGTCGGGGGTGGAAATGCCAATTGTCTTCAATTGGGAAACTTTGGAATTTGCTTTACTTTCTGAATTGACTGGAATTGAAATTGAATTGACCCCAACCCTGACATATCCCTTATCCAGGTCTTGTGGTGCTCGCTGTGGAAGATGGCAAACGAGAAGGTTCCAGCTTTTGGAAAAAAAAGAGCTTGTCCTCTCCCGTCTGGACTACTGCAACTCACTGTTAGCTGGGCTCCCCGCTTGTGCCATCAAACCCCTGCAACTTATCTAGAACGCTGTAACCCCCCCCCTGGTTTTCAACCTTCCCAAGTTCTCCCACGTCACCTCACTCCTCCGTACACTCCACTGGCTTCCAGTCGAAGCTCTCATCCACTACAAGACCATGGTGCTTAGCTACGGAGCAGCAATAGGAACTGCCCCTCCCTACCTTCAGGCTATGCTCAAACCCTACACCCCAACCCGAGCACGCCGTTCTGCCACCTCTGGTCTCTTGGCCCTATGGGAGGGCAGCTCTCGCTCAGCCCAGTCCAAGCTCTTCTCTGTGTGCAGCGACTCTGCTGTCCTAGCTTTAGGGGGAAGCTGCTTCCACCATTGGGGTGCCAATGGACAGCAGAGTCCCTGCACATCTTTCCAAAACATCTGAAACCCTACCTCTTCAAAGAGTACCTTAAATAACCCCCCCCCACGGCAGGGTCCTAGTGGTGACTGTTTACATTTACATTTTAGTCATTTAGCAGACGCTCTTATCCAGAGCGACTTACAGTTAAGTGAGTGCATACATTTTTTCATACTGGCCCCCCCGTGGGAAACGAACCCACAACCCTGGCGTTGCAAAGCGCCATGCTCTACCAACTGAGCTACACAGGACTACAGTCTGTTTAACAGTCTGATGGCCTGGAGATAGACGCTGTTTATCAGTCTCTGCGACCCAGCTTTGATGCACCTTTACGGGTCTCCTCCTTCTAGATGGTAGCAGGGTGAACAGGCCGTGGGGCTCAGGTCATTGATTTTCTTGGCCTTCCTTTGACACCGGGTGCTTTGGATAAAAGCGTCCGCTAAATGGCATATCATATTATTATACTTTAAAAGTTAGAAACATGTACCTCATAGAAGAACTCCTCCTCTGCGTTGATGAACATGAGCTGGTCTTTATGCGGTGCTCCTCTGGCAGGGATGGTCCTGGAGGGATCCTTATAAGTCTTGCTGATCATCAGGATGTAATGACACTTCCCACTGGGCTTGTTGCTGCTCTGGGCTTCTGCCATCTCCTCCCTGGAACATTCAATCAATGATGTGCTCATGTTTTTCATAGTAGTGTGCTGTGTGAAATGACACATAGCTCTTGGTCTTTCTTTCCATAGACAATACACACATGTAATTACTTTAGTACAAAAATGTAAAAATATGTCAATGATTTTCAGAGTTTGTAATCCCAATGTTTATCTGGTGCAAAGTGACCCATATCTGAGACAAGCAGTTACATAATTGCAGGTCCATATTAATCACCATGATTAGAAGGGTTCATCTACATGGGCATACCCATAATGCATAGCAGGTGAGTGACAGTGAACACAATGGTACATCCCCTGAGCAACAGTACAGTAATCTGAGAGCTGTAGCTGTTTGGAGGGGCAGGGTGATCTGTGGGGGTTAGGGTTAGACAGAGACTCACTGTAGCTGTTTGGAGGGGCAGGGTGATCTGTGGGGGTTAGGGTTAGACAGAGACTCACTGTAGCTGTTTGGAGGGGCAGGGTGATCTGTGGGGGTTAGGGTTAGACAGAGACTCACTGTAGCTGCTTGTGGAGGGGCAGGGTGATCTGTGGGGGTTAGGGTTAGACAGAGACTCACTGTAGCTGTTTGGAGGGGCAGGGTGATCTGTGGGGGTTAGGGTTAGACAGAGACTCACTGTAGCTGCTTGTGGAGGGGCAGGGTGGGAGGGTGATCTGTGGGGGTTAGGGTTAGACAGAGACTCACTGTAGCTGTTTGGAGGGCAGGGGGCGATCTGTGGGGGTAGGGTTAGGCCAGAGGACTCATTGTAGCTGCTTGTGGAGGGGCAGGGCGATCTGTGGGGGTTAGGGTTAGACAGAGACTCACTGTAGCTGCTTGTGGAGGGGCAGGGCGATCTGTGGGGTGGTAGGGTTAGACAGAGACTCAACTGTAGTGCTTGTGGAGGGGCAGGGCGATCTGTGGGGGTTAGGGTTAGACAGACTCACTGTAGCTGTATGGAGGGGCAGGGCGATCTGGGGGGTTAGGGTTAGACAGAGACTCATTGTAGCTGCTTGTGGAGGGGCAGGGCGATCTGTGGGGGTTAGGGTTAGACAGAGACTCACTGTAGCTGCTTGTGGAGGGGCAGGGTGATCTGTGGGGGTTAGGGTTAGACAGAGACTCACTGTAGCTGCTTGTGGAGGGGCAGGGCGATCTGTGGGGGCACGTTGATGAACCTCTCGCTGAGCAGCAGTCCCACAGGCTTACTGGTGTCGTTGAGGACCTTCTCCAGATCGTCTGCCACACTATGGGGACAACTCTTCTCACACTGGCCCAGGATCAGATCCTTCACCTCCTCCACACACTGGACACCCTGTGGACGAATCATAACACAGATATTAACACAGCACAATTTTTTTACATTTATGTCATTTAGCAGACGCTCTTATCCAGAGCGACTTACAGATATATACTTTTTTTTTTACTGGCCCCCCGTGGGAATCGAACCCACAACCCTGGCGTTGCAAACGCCATGCTCAACCAACTGAGCTACATCCCTGCACCATAGACCTTATTCACGAGACTGCCATGATTGTTCAAAATGCAGGCTAGTGCAGTAGACAGGAAGAGGAAATAGGCTACTACATTGAAGTCTATGGAAAACAGATCTTTCCTCAAGGTCGACCTTCAAATAACAGATTCAGACAGAGAGAGAAGAGTGAACGACATGTCTTTGGTCTCAACATCTCATTGGTTGAGTAAAAGTCAAGTTTAGTGATTTCATAGATAAAGGTTTAATATCTGCCTGTAGCTACCTTTCTCTCAGTGAGGTTGAGCATGCTGATGAAACCAAACACCTCATCAGCCGGATCCCCCTCATCATCACTGTCCTCTGGCACCTCTGCTTGCTGATAACAAAACATGCAAAGACATACATTACGCTACTGAATTCATATAAATTGTTCTCCATTGGATGTGTGGTTGGAAGAGAGCGTGTGTGTAATCATATTTCAGGTGTTTAATATTAATGCGTTGAATTGTATGATGCATGCATATTTAGTGATGGTCTGGTCTGGTGTGAATGGCGCAACACGTCTTGTTTTTCTTACCCTGATGACGCTTCCAATATGATTCTGCTGGATGAGGAGATCGGTCAACTCGGATGTATTTACATTGGCCTTCAGAAACAGCTGTTGCAGGAGTTTCTTGACACCATTGTAGTCATTGTGAGTAATGGTATGTGCCTCAAAGTCCACAATGACCTCCTGGAAACAAACAAAGGTTTTTAATACAAGTCCCGACTCCCGAGACAATGTTTTGGACTGGAGGGGGACTCAGAGCGAGTGCGCTAACGGTGGCTGCCAGGTTCAGTATCGATACAGGTATCGATTGTTTGTCTAAACTACTCTTATGCTTTTAAGTGTGTGTAAATGTCCATGCATTTCACTGTTTCGCTAGTTAAAACTCTGAAGTTATCGACTGGCTATGTTTAGCATGTCCCTAACATAGTTAACATGGTTAGCTAACTTGAAATGAACAACAGTTGTTTGCTAAAAATCTATCTAGCTAACCCCTCTAACGTTAGCCAGTGCTAGCTAGCCTGCTAGGCCAGGAATGTAGCCAGTTCGCTAGAGACATATCGTACTTCATTGATCTCCTCTTCTGATCCGCTGTCCTTCTCTCCTGAATCACAATCGTCTTCCAATCCCTCATCCGAGCTGTTATCCTCACTATCAGCTGGATTTTCTCCCATTCCAACTGCTCGTCTTTTCGCTGAAGAAGCCATGCTGCCAAAACAGAGACCACGCTTACGGGAAAGAACGGGGGCGGGGCAAGGGATTAAGTGGAGTTGGAGTACCGCGAAACTGAGACGCTGTAGAGGCCATATTGGATCAATTGCTGCATGCTTCGCTATTGGAATGCACGTGTGGAGAACCACAATGGAGTCCTGCTTCTCACGCTGACAGCAATATGGAATAAACCATTTTGATGGAAAGGTATATAGCTCGTAAATAAATTATATTTGAAATATGTTAGAATATTGTTTAGTGAACTATTTTAGGAGAAAAAACAAACGATTACTTTCTCTAATTTTAACTGTAGTGATACAAATCATTGTTATGGCTCAAGTATTATCCTAACAAAACATGACTATTTTGTTGCCCCCTATTTCCTCGTTTTAGTAGTAGCCATGAAGCCAGCTGGAGGAAGAGCTCGAGGTACAGTATTTGTGTACATCCTATTTTTACGATTTCCTACGTTTTCTGATAATTTTCAGTTGACTTGAAAACGTAAACTAGTTAGCGCAATAGTTAAGCATGATAAGTGTTGTGTGTGCAGTTGTTATTGTTTTGTGGTTGCGTCGCCTTGGCTCACAAGAAGTGACAGCTCCATATTTGAATTGCATTGCATAACGTAACAGCATTGCAAGTACATAAAACGTACAGTACAATAGTGCATGAGAGACCTGAGCTCTACAGCTGACTGAATAACACCGCGTGCCTCTAATTGATAAACGGTCCAGCAAGGAAATCGGTTGATTCATGGCTCAACAGCATTGTTATCAGTAGGCAACATATGACATGCGCTGTACGCCCAGCTATGGTTACACCCCCCCCCCCCCCCTCAACCTTCTGTTCTGAAGCTACTGCACAGGGTCAGTCGTTCAGTTTATACTCTTGCTAAATAGAGTAAATCTGCATTGAGTGGATTTTTTTGCCTTTACATTTACAGATTTCATCAGTGACCGCTTTGCTGACAGTAACATTAAGTTGTATCCCTTCTTGTCTTATTCCACAGGGCTCTGAGTCATCAGTCAGTCAAAATGCATGTGCTGCTTCTGAAAGAACCAAGAGAGGGAGGCTCTGGACCAGATCCTTACATCAAGGTACAGTAGAGGAACATCTTTTGTATTGATATTTGCAGCTTGCATGTGCATTCTGTTCTATTCTGTTCTATTCAATTATATTCTATTATACTCTACACCTATTATAATCCATTATACAACGGGTGGTTCTAATCCCGAATGCTGATTGGTTAAAACCGCATTCCCAGCCAGTGTCTATTCCACAAGATACCACCGGCTAAATCTATGACGTTAAAATGCCCTGTTAACTCTGTTCCATCTGACTGCGCAATCCACTGTCTCATCAGCCCAGCCAGGCAATATATAAAATTGATCTCCACTATAAAAAGCATCTAGACATTATCTCACATTTCTTTTAGATTAACATTTAGTTTTCAACAGCGGAGATTTGTATAAACCTTGCTGTCTGTCTCTCTGACATTTGCAACATTGTTTCAATATTCAAATTCAATCTCCAGCTGTCCCACATTAATGAACTTGTTGGGTGTCGGGACGAGACAGAATCAGCTGGCAAAATTTTATGGATATATACTGTACAAACAGGTAAAACGAAACGAAATGCAGCTAGTTTGCAGTCTTTCAAGCTTCAGTTTGAAGTGATTGTGTTAGCTGTGTTGTTGGCTAGCTCCTCTGAACAACAGTGTCCTGACAAGAGAGCACATTTTCTATGCAAGGCGAAATCGCGCATCATTAGCTCATTTATTATAGATGTATCCAAATAAATGTCACTAGAAAACATCTTAAACAAATGCAAATGACGCTACTTTGCTGTTATTCTGGCTGCACTTTTTGACTTGACTGTACGTTAGCCGTAGTTGGCTAGCTAGCAAGCAAGGGATAAGAACGTTGCCAGCCAGTATGGCAATGGAACATTTAGAACGAGCGACTGGGTCACGTCCATAAATACAGAACAAAAAGATTGAACGACTGGGTCGTTGCTCTGGCAAACGGAACCGATAGAACGAACGACCAGCCGGCTTGGGTAGAGACCCTAGATTTGTGTCGGGACTATATCTTGTGGAAGGATGAAATAGTATGAATAAATTCATCAAAATAATGTTTTTAATGAAAATATGTGAATCATTATTTGAATATGCTGGTAACCCGTTGTATAAAAGTGATAATGCCCTCTAAGCGTTTGGAGGATATATTGGCACAGTTTGCCAATAACAACACCCGTGCCAATATATATTAATATGCCATTTAGCAGACGCTTTTATCCAAAGCGACTTACAGTCATGTGCGCATACATTTTTACGTATGGGTGGTGCCGGGGATCGAACCCACTACCCTGGCGTTACAAGCGCCGTGCTCTACCAGCTGAGCTACAGAGGACCACTCTGGAAATATCCTCCAAACACCGGCTTCGAGGGCATTATGACCTAATTGTATAATGGGTGACTGTGTCACAGTGAAATCGATTGATTGATTTACAGAGCTCTCAACTTTGTATTTACAGGCGCTGGCATCACATGGACACAAAGCAACCTTAATTCCTGTGCTGTCATTTACATTTGTATCCTTGAACACATTGTCAGACAAGGTGAATACCATTTAAATGTATCAAAGTATTAATTAAGATGAAAGTTGGGTAACACTTTACTTGACACCAAGCGTCATAACACGTTATGACACGGTCATAACCATGACCAGCTGACAAAACTTGTCATAACCTGTCATAGTATGGTCATAACACTGTCATGACACATATATTTAGACCTATTGCGTTACTTTATGGCTAGTTATGACACCCACAAAACCTACCACACAAGGCAAAACATTCCATTACACCATAGCCTACTTGTCAACAGTCTGTTTATGTTTTGTCAAATTGTCTTTATAATTGCACACATTGATGTCAGACATGCACCTACCCCAATGCTCTATTGCTGATGACTGGGATGAATGCAGGAGCAGATTTCAGGAGCAGGACGAGACAACTTCTTTTTGACTGATGACTGACATAAGGGCCTGTACCTGATAGGCCTATCTGGCTCATATGATTATGACATTTACATTTTAGTCATTTAGACATTTAGTAGACGCTCTTATCCAGAGCAACTTACAGTTAGTGAGTGCATACATAATTTTTTTATTTTTCATACTGGCCCCCCGTGGGAATCGAACCCACAACCGAGCTACATCCCTGCCGGCCATTCCCTCCCCTACCCTGGACGACGCTGGGCCAATTGTGCGCCGCCCCATGGGTCTCCCTGTCGCGGCTGGCTACGACAGAGCCTGGATGGTCATAATGCTTCTTGACAGTGTCATAAAGTGTATTTTCTGCAAGTTATTTAAAATATGATGAAAAAATACATGACTGTAAAGAATTCATCACAACAACAACAAAGAAACAAACTTTCAAACGAAAGGAAACGTCTTGGCAGCGGAAAAACACATTGGAATAAATGTGGGTTGACACTCTCTTATGTAGGTGTCAAAACCAGCTATAAAATATTGAAATATATTTAACAACAGGTGTGTATATATATATATATATGGGTCATGACAGTGTTATGACCGTATTATGACAGGTTATGTTGGCGTCATAATGTGTTATGACACTGGGTGTCAAGTAAAGTGTTACTGAAAGTTGTACTGTTTGGTTATGTTTTACTAGTTCTTACACAGCTTCGAGTTGTACTGTTTGGTTATGTTTACTAGTTCTTACACAGCTTCGAGTTGTACTGTTTGGTTATGTTTACTAGTTCTTACACAGCTTCGAGTTGTACTGTTTGGTTATGTTTACTAGTTCTTACACAGCTTCGAGTTGTACTGTTTGGTTATGTTTACTAGTTCTTACACAGCTTCAAGTTGTACTGTTTGGTTATGTTTACTAGTTCTTACACAGCTTCGTCTGTACTGTTACAGCTGTTTCAGCCAGAACAACATGGTGGGATGGTTTTTACCAGTCCGAGGGCGGTGGAGGCAGTCAGGATGTGTCTGGAAGATGATGAAAGAAGGGAAGGTGACTAGATCTCATACGAAGTGTAAACGATGTACTGTAAATGCTGCCTGTCGACAAATTGTCGTTGTTGGGGAAAGGATCGGCCTCTTGTGCCTAGCCTCGCGCGTTTTGAGACGGACAAAGTCAACGCACGTTAGTGTATGTAAGCTACTTGTTTTTTTAATTTCGGTGTACTTTTTCCCCATTATAGAGTGGAACCGTGACATGAAAGACAAATGGAATGCCAAGTCCATCTATGTTGTTGGGAAGGCTACTGCAGCGGCAGGTGAGGAATTGATCACCACATGTGTAAACTTGCTGGCGTTCCACTTATCATTCAGTATGGAGTTCTTCCTTCATGTCTCTAAAGGGGTGTCTCTTCTTTGTTTCGCTCAGAGGATCTTGTCATAGGTCACTTAGAGGCCTAGTTATATATAACAATAATAATAATAATAGGGATATATACTGTACACTCGGTGGCCAATTTATTAGGTACACCCATCTAGTACCGGGTCGGACACCCCTTTGCCTCCAGAACAGCCGGAATTCTTCGGGGCATGGGAAACGTTGCTCATTTGGTATGAAGGGACCTAACGTGTGCCAGGAAAACATCCCCCACACCATTACACCACCCCCCACCAGCCTGTACCGTTGACACCAGGCAGGATGGGTCCATGGACTCATGCTGCTTACGCCAAATCATGACTCTGCCATCAGCATGACTCAACAGGAACTGGGATTCATCGGACCAGGTGATGTTTTCCCCCTCCTCAATTGTCCAGTGTTGGTGATGGCGTGCCCACTGGAGCCGCTTCTTCTAGTTTTTAGCTGATAGGAGTGGAACCAGGTGTGGTCGTCTGTAGGGCTGTGGTCATCTGTAGGGCTGTGGTCATCTGTAGGGCTGTGGTCATCTGTAGGGCTGTGGTCATCTATAGGGCTGTGGTCATCTGTAGGGCTGTGGTCATCTGTAGGGCTGTGGTCATCTATAGGGCTGTGGTCATCTGTAGGGCTGTGGTCATCTATAGGGCTGTGGTCATCTGTAGAGCTGTGGTCATCTGTAGGGCTGTGGTCATCTGTAGGGCTGTGGTCATCTATAGGGCTGTGGTCATCTATAGGGCTGTGGTCATCTATAGGGCTGTGGTCATCTGTAGGGCTGTGGTCATCTATAGGGCTGTGGCAGGACAGTTATTGTCATGCAAAAGTCTGCCGGTTCTCACGGTAATTGACCGTTAATGAACATAAACACATTTAGCATCTCCTGTCTTCCACTCATAGCCTACAAGCCACTGATGGACGACCTTTGGAACATCTACATAAAAAAAAAGTCTAATAAATCCATTTAATATACACCATCACAATAAATCCATTATTTATATTTGTCAGTTCTAAAGAAACATTTATGATATGAAGAAAATGTATTTTAGAAGAGTTGGCCAACTGTATGTTAGTTATCTGGCTGTGCTCCATGCCATAGGCTGTAGGCTTGTTCATTTAGCTGACAAGATATTATATGATTTTATAATAAGAAGAATATAATTGAACTTAGCTGAATAAAATAGAAAGGATATTTTTCCCATTGTGGAGCTTGTGGGCATATGACGTGACTATATTGAGCGTAAAAGTGATCATTTGAAAAAGGACCTATATGCTAGATTTAGAGTTATTTGGCAGCTTTAGTTCTGAATGATACAAACCTTTAAAATGTCTTGGAAATCAAAAGATATATGGGCTGCATGGTGATATATGGGCTGCATGGTGATATATGGGCTGCATGGTGATATCTGGGCTGCATGGTGATATATGGGCTGCATGGTGATATCTGGGCTGCATGGTGATATATGGGCTGCATGGTGATATCTGGGCTGCATGGTGATATATGGGCTGCATGGTGATATATGGGCTGCATGGTGATATCTGGGCTGCATGGTGATATCTGGGCTGCATGGTGATATATGGGCTGCATGGTGATATCTGGGCTGCATGATGCGACTAGAGGATATTGATGATTTGAGAAAGCAGCAAAAAAATAAAGCTTGCTCTGTTCCTTGCCTCAGACTGCACAGCTGTTCTCTCATCAAGTCATCAGACTATTCTCAATTGGATCTTGTCTTTTACTAATATGTCAAAATTGTTTTATAATATAATATATAATATGCCATTTAGCAGACGCTTTTATCCAAAGCGACTTACAGTCATGCGTGCATACATTATTTTATTTTTTGTGTATGGGTGGTCCCGGGGATCGAACCCACTACCTTGGCGTTACAAGCGCCGTGCTCTACCAGCTGAGCTACAGAGGATCACAGATTTAGATTTAGAATGGCCCATTTATCAAATGGACAGGAACAGGGGCAGGAGAAAAAAATACATGTAATCTGTGTTGACTGGAATAGCGAATGGAGGCCGCGCGCTTTCCCACCGGTCCGTTCTGTAGGTTACTGTGGTTTTATAGCGGAGCAGCTTAATATGAGCAGCTGGGAAATACATATAAGAACACTTATTTCACTCCACACATCGACCACTGTTTGAGGAGCACGCTCTCACTGCCCCGACCAGGTGATATTCCGCCCAAACTCTGTATCCCATGGGCTCTCCAACCTTGTTTCTGCCGCTACCCATTGCTTCATTTTGGGAAACCCAAGTGAAATCTGTTCGTGGGGAAAATCGATAGTAACACGTTTTCACAACAAAACATACAGTATTTCACTAAACTGTTGACAGCCCATCTGCGCACTCCAGAAAGGAGTAAAGGAGAGAGGGGAAGAGATGGAAACTCATGGAGGAACAGTCGCGTGGAATTTTACTGCGGTTATGACTCATGACTGCCAGTGTGGCAGTATTACGGTCATTGCAACAGTCCTAGTCTTCTGCTGCAATAGCTCATCTGTGACCGGGACCGACGAGTTGCGCGTTTCCCGAGACGCCGTTCTGCACACCACTGTTGAACTGCGCCGTTATTTGCCTGTTTGAGGCCCACGTGATAACTTGCACCATTGTTGACCTTCTATTCCGACCTCTCATCAACAAGCTGTTTTCTTTCGCACACAGGACTGCTGCTGACTGGATGTTTTTTTGTTTGTTGCACCATTGTCGGTAAACCCTAGGCACTGTCGTGCGTGAAAAGCCCAGGAGGCCGGCCGTTTCTGAGATACTGGAACCGGCGCGCCTGGCACCGACGATCATACCACGCTCAATGTCGCTTAGGCGACTTGTTTTGCCCATTCTAACGTTCAATAGAACCGTAACTGAATGCCTCGATGCCTGTCTGCCTGCTTTATATAGCAAGCCACGGCCACGTGACTCACTGTCTGTAGGAGCGAACCATTTTCGTGAACGGGGTGGTGTACCTAATAAACTGGCAACTGAGTGTAATAAAAATAAAAAATAAACTGTGACTATCACAGAGTGTGCCGTTAATGAGATGGTACTAGAGATAGTATGTGTGGCAGGCACCTGGATGTCACAGGAAGGTGTCAACCATGTTGCCACTAGCCTGCATTCAGCTGGAAATGACTTTTCCACAAGTGACAGTTTACTGACATCTTGCTGCCTGTCTTTATAGAGGGCAGGTGGCAGGTGCGACACTCTCTCTTGGTATCTGCCCTGTTCCCTTTACCTCTGATTATTGGGAAGGAATAACAGGGTTGTTCTGTTTTAACGTTTGAGCCTGTTGAACTGTTACCTGCACCAAAACAGTTTCTAAGAATGTTTAGGGTGTTCATTCATGTGTAGCATAATGACAACTAATGTATTAATATCATAAACTACTACATGTATTAATATCATAAACTACTACATGTATTAATATCATAAACTACTACATGTTAATATCATAAACTACTACATGTGTTAATATCATAAACTACTACATGTATTAATATCATAAACTACTACATGTATTAATATCATAAACTACTACATGTTAATATCATAAACTACTACATGTATTAATATCATAAACTACTACGTGTTAATATCATAAACTACTACATGTGTTAATATCATAAACTACTACATGTATTAATGTCATTAGATAAAAAGTATGTTTCTGTTTGGTATTATATTTCAGTAATCAGTTGTCTGTTTTCTTCAATAGTGGAAAACCTAGGTCTGGTCCCCCTGGGAGAGGACACTGGGACTGCAGAAGTTCTCTCAAGCCTTATCATTGAACGTATGACACTCATTTACCTTTTTCAAATGCATTCTAAACTACACTGAACAAAAATATAAACGCAACATGTAAAGTGTTGGTCCCATGTTTCATGAACTGAAATAAAAGATCCCAGAAATGTTCCATATGCACAAAAAGCTTATTTCTCTCAAATCTTGTGCACAAATTTGTTTACAGCCCTGTTAGTGAGCATTTCTCCTTTGCCAAGATAACCCAGTTTTGTCACACAGCACAATGCCAAATATGTCTCAAGTTTTGAGGGAGCGTGCAATTGGCATGCTGACTGCAGGAATGTCCACCAGAGCTGTTGCCAGATAATTTAATGTTAATTTCTCTACCATAAGCCGCCTCTAGCGTCATTTTAGAGAATTTGGCAGTACGTCCAACCGGCCTCACAAGCTCATCTGCATGCTCGTCGTCCTTACCAGGGTCTTGACCTGACTGCAGTTCGGCGTTGTGACCGACTTCAGTGGGCAAATGCTCACCTTCGATGGCCACTGGCACGCTGGAGAAGTGTGCTCTTCATGGATGAATCCCGGTTTCAACTGTACCGGGCAGATGGCAGACGTGTGGCGTCATGTGAGTGAGCAGTTTGCTGATGTCAATGTTGTGAACAGACTTCCCCTTGGTGGCGGTGGGGTTATGGTATGGGCAGGCATAAGCTACGGACAACGAACACAAATGCATTTTATCGATGGCAATTTGAATGCACAGAGATACCGTAACGAGATCCTGAGGCCCATTGTCGTGCCATTCATCCTCCTCCATCACCTCATGTTTCAGCATGATAATGCATGGCCCCATGTCGCAAGGATCTGTACACAATTCCTGGAAGCTGAAAATGTCCCAGTTCTTCCATGGCCTGCATATTTACCAGACATGTCACCCATTGAGCATGTTTGGGATGCTCTGGATCGACGTGTACGACAGCGTGTTCCAGTTCCCGCCAATATCCAGCAACTTCGCACAGACATTGAACAGGAGTGGGACAACATTCCTCAGGTCACAATCAACAGCCTGATCAACTCTATGTGAAGGAGATGTGTCGCGCTGCATGAGGCAAATGGTGGACACACCAGATACTGACTGGTTTTCTGATTCACGCCCCTACCTTTTAAAGGTATCTGTGACCACAGATGCTATCTTATTCCCAGTCTGTGAAATCATATTTTAAGGCCTAATGAATTTATTTCAATTGACTGATTTCCTTATATGAACTGTAACTCTGTAAAATCTTTGAAATTGTTGCATGTTGCGTTTATTTTGTATTATATTGAGCTAGCTAACTAGGCCTACATTCTGGTTTGATATAGGAGAGGACACCAATATATTACCACTTCTCTTCCCCTGTGGTTCCATTAAAAGAGAAGTTTTGCCTACTGCTTTGAGGGAAAATGGTAAGTTTCCTCTATTACAACTTACTTCCAATTCATTATAACTCATATTTTTAATACCCATGAATGCTGTACTGTTTACAAGGTAGCACCTAATACCATGCCGTCCATAGGTGACATTTATTTCATGTATTTTTTTTAGGAGTGCCTCTGGAGACACTAATGGTATATCAGACAGCTCAACATCCAGACCTGGAGAAGAACCTGAAGAACCATTTTACAGAGCAGGTACAGGAAGCATCAACAGCAGGAAGCATCAACAGCAGGAAGCATCAACAGCAGGACTTTCCCTCAAAACACTATCCCATATACGTTGTGATATTGTTATCATTCAGAAACAGTTTTACACTAATCATTTTTAGTCATTTGGCAGACGCTCTTATCCAGAGCGACTTACAGTTAGTGAGTGCATACATATATTTTTTTCCATTTTTTTTTCTCATTCTGGCCCCCCCGTGGGAAACGAGCCCACAACCCTGGCGTTGCAAGCGCCATGCTCTACCAACCGAGCTACACGGGACTAATCATCATGAATGGGCTCTGTCCACATACAGGGTGTTCCAGCCAGCATTGCTTTCTTCAGCCCATCGGGAGTCAAGTTCTGCCTGGAAACTGTGAGAAGACTGTCAGGTGAACAACTTAACCAGATAAAGGTAAAACGTTTCTAGTTTTTTTCAATGTAACTTTAAGTGACTATGGATATCTTCTTTGAGCTTGTGATGCTATACTGCCAATACAATTGAACTTTAATGTTGTTGTGTTGTTTTGTCTTCCAGTTTGCAGCCATAGGACCCACCACAGCAGACGCCATGACAGCAGAGGGGCTATCGGTCAGCTGCTCAGCAGACAGACCTACAGCGGAGCACCTGGCCACAGGGATAGCGAAGGCTCTACAGTGACAGACAAGACAGACCACCAACCAACCTGGAAACTTGATCCGTCCCCGTCACTTTCTCATTCAGCCTCTGTGAACTGGATTGTGGTATTGCGTTCTTTGTGATCGCTTTATCTCTGTGAAGTATTTGCTATTATTTGTGGGGCTTTTTTATGTCACGTTTTGATCCCGGTAACCATCTGTATATTTATTATATTGTAATATGTTGTTATGCACTGTGAGATATTGTAAGGCCTATTTGTTGACACTGAATGTATCAAATCATGCTCTTATAAACGTGTGACAATTATTGTATTGTGCCACAATTACATACTTTGAGAATTGAGCATGAGGAATTTAATTATTGAAAATAAATAGTGAACAATTAGTTCATGGCTCTGACAATATGTTTATAAATAGTAATTATTGATTTTATTTATGGCCGTTTTTTTAGACAGTGTGTGACAGAATAAATCCAGCTGGGGAGAGACCCGAGCCATGCCTTCCAATTCCAAACAGGTGCTTGTGGGCAGGAGTCGCCTACTGTCGGGATGAAAGCAAAGGCCAACAGTTCAAACGCATTGTATCCATTAGTAGCCAGTGGAAGCGTTAGTAACACATTTGGCCGACGTTTAATTTAGCAGCCGCTTAAATAGAAGAGGTGTTTACCTTTCGCAGCTGAGTGTCTACTTTATTGAAGTGTCGGTACTAAAGTGTGTCACGTTAAAGGGCGTGTACTTAGGGAAGGAGCCGTAAATCTTTTGAGGACAAGATGCGCTCTTCAGTCGATCATTATCTTCCCGCAACAAACTGACCCGTGTCAAGACGCACAACCACGATGCTGACTTTACTCCAGCTGATAACTGTATTATTGTTGACCAGCATTAGCTCCCCTGATGCAGAGAAACTCTTCCACAGTCGGGATCATTCCGATCTACAGATCCCCTCCTCTCACCAAGCTGAGCTCATAACAGACAAAGAGACTGCAGAGGTAAAACTTTTTTTCTTTTTTTTTCTCCAAGTGATCAGTATTTTATTATGTGCAAATGTGATGTTCAGCTATTCAACATAACATCTATTACACAGTCACGGAGTAGTTCTATTAGGTTTGACTTTCTTACTGAAGATGATAACAAAGCATTTATTTTAAAGGAAACCGATACAAAACAATAACAGTGAGATATCGAGTCAGATGCATCGCTAGCCTGGGTAGCAGTGGTTCTATGCCCAAGACATAAGACTGCTGAACAATTCATCAAATGGCCACCCTGACAATTTACATTGACCCTGTCGACTAACCTGTACCCCCGCGCATTGACTCGGTAACGGTACCCCCTGTGTATACATTTTACATTTTAGTCATTTAGCAGACGCTCTTATCCAGAGCGACTTACAGTTAGTGAGTGCATACCATTTATTTATTATTTTTCATATAGCCTCGTTATTGTTATTTTATTGTGTTACTTTGTATTTTATTTTTTACTGTATTTTATTTAGTAAATATTTTCTTAACTCTATTTCTTGAACTGCATTGTTGGTTAAGGGCTTGTAAGTAAGCATTTCATGGTTAGGTCTACACCTGTTGTATTCGGAGCATGTGAGAAAATAACGATTTGATTTGATTTATCTAACGTTCAACAGCCTGGGTACCAGTCAGTTTAGCTAACGTTCCACTTATACTCGATGTCATGTGTCAAAATGGTTTCACAATGACATGAAGTACAGGGAGTGGAATGTTGGCTAATTTACCTGTAAGATGTTATAGAGGTGTTAGTTCTACATTAATAAAGCTGTTTCAACCACATGCCATATTTCCAGCTATTTCTCTCAAGATATGGCTTCATAAGACCAGTGAACTGGGAGGAGGTCCAGTTTGAAGAAACAACAGGCATTTCTAACGATGAAGACTTCACTGGCGAGGAAGACTTCCTATCTGGGATACAGGAGGGAGACTCATCACTGTCACGTGCAGAGACGGATGATGAAGATGATGGTGAAGATGAAGACTCTCCAAACCCCACTGAAAGCCAAGCCTTCATCTCAGCTCTCAGAGAGTTCCAGAAGGTGTCCGGCCTGTCTGTCACAGGGGTGTTTGATGACGCCACCAAGGTTGCCATGAACAAGCCTAGGTGTGGGGTCCCGGATAAGGAGACTGAAATGGATGCTACTGATGACGCACACGACTCCACCAGCTCAGCACTCGGAAACAACACTGCCACCTTGCTAACTAAGAACATAGACAACTCAGAATACTCTAACAATACACTCAGTGGTGCTTTAAATGGCACTGCTACTGATTACACAGTGGACAATAACATATTCAGTGACATTTCTAGTGGCACTGATGGAAACTATACAGAGATTGACAACACATTCAGTGACATTTTTAATAGCACTGTTAGTACCTACACAGATTATATATCTGCCAGTAACACAACAGAATATTACGACCCAGTCGGTGATACGCTCAATGGTTCTACTATAAACAACACAGAGAATAACAGCAACACACACAGTCACACAGTGAACGACCCTACCACTGCTACTGACAGACCTCATCAGAGCCCTCCTACCACTGCTACTGACAGACCTCATCAGAGCCCTCCTACCACTGCTACTGACAGACCTTATCAGAGCCCTCCTACCACTGCTACTGACAGACCTCATCAGAGCCCTCCTCCTACCACTGCTACTGACAGACCTCATCAGAGCCCTCCTACCACTGCTACTGACAGACCTCATCAGAGCCCTCCTCCTACCACTGCTACTGACAGACCTCATCAGAGCCCTCCTCCTACCACTGCTACTGACAGACCTCATCAAGCCCTCCTCTTACCACTGCTACTGACAGACTATCAAGCCCTCCTCCTACCACTGCTACTGACAGACCGCATCAGAGCCCTCCTCTTACCACTGCTACTGACAGACCTCACCAGAGACCCTCCTACCACTGCTACTGACAGACCTCATCAGAGCCCTCCTCTACCACTGTACTGACAGACCTCATCAGAGGCCCTCCTACCACTGCTACTGACAGACCTCATCAGAGCCCTCCTACCACTGCTACTGACGACCCTCACCTAAGCCCTCCCTACCACTGCTACTGACAACCTCATCAGAGCCCCCTCCTACCACTGCTACTGACAGACCTCATCAGAGCCCCCTCCTACCACTACTACTGACAGACCTCACCAGAGCCCTCTACCACTGCTACTGACAACCTCATCAGAGGCCCTCCTCCTACCACTGCTACTGACAGACCTCATCAGAGCCCTCCTCCTACCACTGCTACTGACAGACCTCATCAGAGCCCCCTCCTACCACTGCTACTGACAGACCTCATCAGAGCCCTCCTCTTACCACTGCTACTGACAGACCTCATCAGAGCCCTCCTACCACTGCTACTGACAGACACTCAATCAGAGCCCTCCTCCACTGCTACTGACAGACCTCATCAGATCCCTCCTCCTACCCACTGCTACTGACAGACCTCATCAGATCCCTCCTCCTAACCACTGCTGAAACCTGACAGAGCCCCTACCATGCGAGAGCCCATCAGCCCTACGCACTGCTACTGACAGACCTCAACAGAGACCCCTACCTACCACTGTTACTGACAGACCTCATCATAAGACCTCCTACCACTGCTCCTGACAGACCTCATCAGAGCCCTCCTCCTACCACTGCTACTTACAGAAGACTCCTCAGAGCCCTCCTCCTACCCACTGCTACTAGACGCGACCTCATCAGAGCCCCTCCTACCACTGCTAACTGACAGACCGTCAATCAGAGACCTCCTACCACTGTTACTGACATACCTCATCAGAGACCCTCCTACCACTGTACTGACAGAAGCCCCTACCATCAGAGCCCATCAGCCTCCTACCACTGCTACTGACAGGACCTCATCAGAGCCCTCCTCCTACCACTGCTACTGACAGACCTCATCAGAGCCCTCCTCCTACCACTGCTACTGACAGACCTCATCAGAGCCCTCCTACCACTGTCTACTGACAGACCTCATCAGAGCCCTCCTACCACTGCTACTGACAGACCTCATCAGAGCCCTCCTCCTACCACTGCTACTGACAGACCTCATCAGAGCCCTCCTACACCACTGCTACTGACAGACCTCATCAGAGCCCTCCTACCACTAGTGGCCTACATGACGAGACCTCATCAGAGCCCTCCTCCTACCACTGCTACTGACAGACCTCATCAGAGCCCTCCTACCACTGCTACTGACAGACCTCATCAGAGCCCTCCTACCACTGCTACTGACAGACCTCATCAGAGCCCTCCTTACCACTGCTACTGACAGACCTCACCAGAGCCCTCCTACCACTGCTACTGACAGACCTCATCAGAGCCCCTCCTACCACTGCTACTGACAGACCTCATCAGAGCCCTCCTACCACTGACGACACTCATCAAGCCTCTACCCTCTACTGACAGACCTCATCAGAGCCCTCCTACCACTGCTACTGACAGACCTCATCAGAGCCCTCCTACCACTGCTACTGACAGACCTCATCAGAGCCCTCCTCCTACCACTGCTACTGACAGACCTCATCAGAGCACCTCCTACCACTGCTACTGACAGACCTCATCAGAGCCCTCCCTACCACTGCTACTGACAGACCTCATCAGAGCCCTCCTACCACTGCTACTGACAGACCTCATCAGAGCCCTCCTCCTACCACTGCTACTGACAGACCTCATCAGAGCCCTCCTCCTACCACTGCTACTGACAGACCTCATCAGAGCCCTCCTCCTACCACTGCTACTGACAGACCTCATCAGAGCCCTCCTCTACCACTGCTACTGACAGACCTCATCAGAGCCTCCTCCTACATGCTACTGACAGACCTCATCAGAGCCCTCCTCCCTTAACACCACAGGCCTCTACCACTGCTACGACAGACCTCACCAGAGCCCTCCTACCACTGCTACTTGGACAGACCCTCATCAGAGCCCTCCTCTACCACTGCTACTGACAGACCTCATCAGAGCCTCCTCCTACCACTGCTTACTGACAGACCTCATCAGAGCCCTCCTCCGACACCCTACTGACAGACCTCATCAGAGCCCTCCTACCATGCTACTGACAGACCTCATCAGAGCCCTACCTCCTACCACTGCTACTGACAGACCTCATCAGAGCCCTCCTACCACTGCTACTGACAGACCTCATCAGAGCCCCCTCTACCACTGCTACTGACAGACCTCATCAGAGCCCTCCTACCACTGCTACTGACAGACCTCATCAGCATCAGAGCCGCCTGGTTTCACTGCTGTCCAAGCGGAGGCAGAAGAGACATGTGAGGAGACATGCATGGGGAAACATGGCCTTCTCCAAAATGGTGCTGAAGTGGAGGCTGATAGGTGAGGTTTACTATGAGGCTGATAGGTGAGGTTTACTATGAGGCTGATAGGTGAGGTTTACTATGAGGCTGATAGGTGAGGGTTACTATGAGGCTGATAGGTGAGGTTTACTTGGTGAGGGTTACTATGAGGCTGATAGGTGAGGGTTACTATGAGGCTGATAGGTAGGTTACATGAGCTGATAAGTGAGGGTTACTATGAGGCTGATAGGGGTACTATGAGGCGATAGGGGTTACTATGAGGCTGATAAGGTGAGGGTTACTATGAGGCTGATAGGGAGGGTTACTATGAGGCTGATAGGGGAAGGTTACTATGAGGCTGATAGGGAGGGTTACTATGAGGCTGATAGGTGAGGGTTACTATGAGGCTGATAGGGGAGGGTTACTATGAGGCTGATAGGTGAGGGTTACTATGAGGCTGATAGGGAGGGTTACTGAGGTGAAGGTGAGTTATGAGTGAAGGTGAGGTTACTATGAGGCTGATAGGGAGGGTTACTATGAGGCTGATAGGTGAGGGTTACTATGAGGCTGATAGGTGAGGGTTACTATGAGGCTGATAGGTAGGGTACTATGAGCTGATGGAGGGTTACTAAGGCTGATAGGGGAGGGTTACTATGAGGTGATAGGAGGGTTACTATGAGCTGATAAGGTAGGGGTTACTATGAGGCTGATAAAGTGAGGGTTACTATGAGGACTGATAAAGGAGGGTTACTATGAGGCTGTATAAGGGAGGGTTACTATGAGGCTGATAGTGAGTAAAGTGTAGGGGTTACTATGAGGCTGATAAGGAGGGTTACTATGAGGCTGATAAGGGAGGGTTACTATGAGGCTGATAAGGTAGGGTTACTATGAGGCTGATAAAGGAGGGTTACTATGAGGCTGATAAAGGAGGGTTACTATGAGGCTGATAAGGTAGGGTTACTATGAGGCTGATAAAGGAGGGTTACTATGAGGCTGATAAGGGAGGGTTACTATGAGGCTGATAGAGGTTACTTGAGGTGATAGGGGGTTACTATGAGGCTGATAGGAGTACATAGGTGAGGGGTTACTATGAGGCTGATAAAGGAGGGTTACTATGAGGCTGATAAGGAGGGTTACTATGAGGCTGATAAAGGAGGGTTACTATGAGGCTGATAAGGAGGTTACTATGAGGCTGATAAGGGAGGGTTTACTATGAGGCTGATAGGGGAGGGTTACTATGAGGCTGATAGGGAGGGTTACTATGAGGCTGATAGGGGAGGGTTACTATGAGGCTGATAAGGAGGGTTACTATGAGGCTGATAAGGTAGGGTTACTATGAGGCTGATAAATGAGGGTTACTATGAGACTGATAAAGGAGGGTTACTATGAGGCTGATAAGGGAGGGTTGCTATGAGGCTGATAAAGGAGGGTTACATGAGACTGATAAGGAGGGTTACTATGAGGCTGATAAGGGAGGGTTACTATGAGGCTGATAAAGGTAGGGTACTATGAGCTGATAAGGAGGGTTACTATGAGGCTGATAAGGAGGGTTACTATGAGAGCTGATAAGGAGGGTTACTATGAGGCTGATAAGGAGGGTTACTATGAGGCTGATAAAGGAGGGTTACTATGAGGCTGATAAAGGAGGGTTACTATGAGGCTGATAAAGGAGGGTTACTATGAGGCTGATAAAGGAGGGTTACTATGAGGCTGATAAAGGAGGGTTACTATGAGGCTGATAAAGGAGGGTTACTATGAGGCTGATAAAGGAGGGTTACTATGAGGCTGATAAGGGAGGGTTACTATGAGGCTGATAAAGGAGGTTTACTATGAGGCTGATAAGGGAGGGTTACTATGAGGCTGATAAAGGAGGGTTACTATGAGGCTGATAAAGGAGGGTTACTATGAGGCTGATAAAGGAGGGTTACAATGAGTTGTTGTTTCTAGATCTATGAAGAAATAGAAGAAGTACATACAGACAAAGCTTCAGGTCAGTACATGGTACGTGGGCGGACCCAGGAATTAAACCACCATGCTTTACCAACTGAGCCATGCAGGACCAGAGACATATCATATTCAAGATAGTGTGTCTTGGCCTTTGTTCATTTCTAGGAGAGGGCTACAGCAGTCAGCTGACCATACAGGACCAGAGACATATCATCAGCCTGGCCTTCAGGATGTGGAGCGAGGTGTCTCCCCTGGAGTTCGTAGAGGACACACTCTCTCCCCTGGAGGATGTAGACATCAGACTGGGTTTTGGCACAGGTGGGTCTTGTATTAGCCTGGGTACCAGTCTGTTTCTGCTAACATCCCTCTCTTTACCAGTCCCTGTAATGCAATGACACGGAGGACTGGAATGTTGGCAGAAACAGACTGGTCCCCAGGCTTGTCTCGCATCAACAGACTGGTACCCAGGCTTGTCTCGCATCAACAGACTGGTACCCAGGCTTGTTCGACATCAAACAGACTGGTATCCCATGAGCTGTCTCGCATCAACAGACTGGTACCCAGGCTGTCTGCATCACCAGATTGGTACCCAGGCTTGTCTCGCATCAACAGACTGGTACCCAGGCTTGTCTCGCATCAACAGACTGGTACCCAGGCTTGTCTCGCATCAACAGACTGGTACCCAGGCTTGTCTCGCATCAACAGACTGGTACCCAGGCTTGTCTCGCATCAACAGACTGGTACCCAGGCTTGTCTCGCATCAACAGACTGGTACGCAGGCTTGTCTCGCATCAACAGACTGGTACCCAGGCTTGTCTCGCATCAACAGACTGGTACCCAGGCTTGTCTCGCATCAACAGACTGGTACCCAGGCTTGTCTCGCATCAACAGACTGGTACCCAGGCTTGTCTCGCATCAACAGACTGGTACCCAGGCTTGTCTCGGACCCCTTGGCTTAGACAATATTACCTGTGCATTTGGGATGAATTGAATGTCATGAACAAATTGCATCTACTGTAGCCTGGTCCCAGACCTGTAGGTGCTGTCTTGTTGCCAGCTGGTAGGACAGCACAAACAGGTCTGGGACCAGGCTACATATTTCATTGTACTGTATCTTCCCTGAAAATTGTCATATATTTTTTAACGTCTTTACATTTAGTGGAGGCAATGACGATAGATGTGTCTTTTCTTTGTGCGTCGACCATACAGGGAGACACTTGGGATGCAACCAGAAGTTTGATGGTACTGGACGGGAGTTTGCCCATGCATGGTTCCTGGGAGACATTCACTTTGATGACGACGAACATTTCACTGCACCGAACACTGGCAGTGGGATCAGCCTGCTCAAAGTGAGTGTGGGACAGGATGTGTGATTCAAAGATGATGCATCTGTAAAATCTGACATACTTGTGATTTGTGTTATACCTGCCTGCCTTCCCTGTGTTCATTTATAAGACCAAACTACATTCAGGTAAATATTAGAAAACCCAGATTTTGTATTCATTAGATTTAATTGTGGTATTTCTCATTTGTTTCAGTGACATAAATGTCAAGGGTTAAGAAACATTGAAATAACCTCATGCCACTGTTGTTTCTCCCGAGTGGGGCAGTGATCTAAGGCGCTGCAGCGCAGTGCTAGCTGTGCCACTAGAGATCCTGGTTCGAATCCAGGCTCTGTCGTAGCCGGCCGCGACCGGGAGACCCATGGGGCGGCGCACAATTGGCCCAGCGTCATCCAGGATAGGGGAGGGAATGGCCGGCAGGGATGTAGCTCAGTTGGTAGAGCATGGCGTTTGCAACGCCAGGGTTGTGGGTTCGATTCCCACGGGGGGCCAGTATGAAAAATATAAAAAAAATTAAAAAACAATGTATGCACTGGATAAGAGCGTCTGCTAAATTACTAAAATGTAATGTAAATGTATTGCATTGGAAAACCCAGATAGTATTTCTTCATCAGAGTTGGGGTCAATTCCATTTCAAGTCAGTCTATTCAGTCAGTAAACTGAAATGATATGTTCCTCATTGGTTTGTTTACTTCCTAAACCAGCCAATTGAAATGGAATTGACCCCAACTCTGTTTTCCATATTTGTGTCCACGATACATGTCATAAATGTCAGGGATGAGTGAGCATTATCAGGGAGTAGGCAGGTAGCCTAGTGGTTAAGCGTTGGGCCAGTAACTGAAAAGTTCATGGTTCGAATCCCCGAGTCGACTAGCTGAAAAAATCTGTCAATGTGCCCTTGAGCAAGGTACTTAACCCTAATTGCTCCTGTAAGTTGCTCTGGATAAGAGCCTCTGCTAAATTAGTGAAGTGTAATTAACCCTGAATACTACTGCTCTTTTTCCATCCATCAGGTGGCAGTGCATGAGATAGGCCATGTCCTGGGCCTACCTCACATCTACAGGACTGGTTCCATTATGCAACCCAGTTACCTGCCCCAGGAATCGGGCTTTGAGATAAACTGGATGGACAGGAAGGCCATACAGCACCTCTATGGTAGGAGAGAGCTACTGTATGTGAAAGTTGTGGAAACATTACCACCTAGTGGACGAAAGAGGAATATACTGCCTGCCTGCCTGCCTGTCTGTCTGTCTGTCTGTCTGTCTGTCTGTCTATTTTATCTATCTATCTAAACACAGTGTCTGGTCTGTTTCCCTCTAGGGGGCTGTAAGGGTCAGTTCAACACAGTGTTTGACTGGATCAGGAAGGAGAGAACCCAGTACGGTGAGGTGGTGATTCGTTTCAACACCTACTTCATGAGGGATGGCTGGTACTGGCTCTATGAAAACAGGTAAGAATTCACCAATAATGACAATAATAAAGTTGACCTTTCACCTCTTCAACTACTTTGGGTTTGTGTCGGTGTATTTCCTACAGACCAAGAAAGATATATGTGTGTTTTGAAAACAAAGTCATCATTATAAAAAGTATGGAAAGGAAGTAGATCCCTTGACTTTTTCCACATTTTGTTACGTTACAGCCTTATTCTAAAATTGATTTAATCGTTTTTTCCCCTCATCAATCTACACACAATACCCCATAATGACAAAGCAAAAACTGATTTGAGACATTTTTGCAAAGGTATTACAAATAAAAAATTTAAATATCACATTAAAAAAAAAACTGCTCCAGAGCGCTCAGGACCTCAGACTGGGGTGAAGGTTCACCTTCCAACAGGACAACGACCCTAAGCACACAGCCAAGACAACACAGGAGTGGCTTCGGGACAAGTCTCTGAATGTCCTTGAGTGGCCCAGCCAGAGCCTGGACTTGAACCCGTTCGAACATCTCTGGAGAGACCTGAAAATAGCTGTGCAGCAATGCTCCCCATCCAACCTGACAGAGCTTGAGAGGATCTGCAGAGAAGAATGGGAGAAACTCCCCAAATACAGGTGTGCCAAGCTTGTAGCGTCATACCCAAGAAGACTCGAGGCTGTAATCGCTGCCTAAGGTGCTTCAACAAAGTACTGAGTAAAGGGTCTGAATACTTATGTAAATTTGATATTTCAGTTTTTTATTTTTAATAAATTAGCAAACATTTCTAAAAAACTGTTTTTGCTTAGTCATTATGGGGTATTGTGTGTAGATTGATGAGGGGGAAAAAAAACAATTTAATCAATTTTAGAATAAGGCTGTAACCTAACCAAATGTGGAAAAAGTCAAGGGGTCTGAATACTTTCCGTAGGCAAAAGTATGTGGATACCCGTTCAAATTAGTGGATTTGGCTATTTCAGCCACAACCGTTGCTGACAGGTGTTTAAAATCGAGCACACAACCATGCAATCTCCGTAGACAAACATTGGCAGTAGAATGGCCCGTACTGAAGAGCTCAGTGACTTTCAACGTGGCACCGTCATAGAATGCCACCTTTCCAACAAGTCAGGGCGGCAGGTAGCTTAGTGGTTAAGAGCGTTGTGCCAGTAACCGAAAGGTCGCTGGTTCTAATCCCAGAGCCGACTAGGTGGAAAAATCTGTCGATGTGCCCTTGAGCAAGGCACTTAACCCTAATTGCTCATGTAAGTCGCTCTGGATAAGAGCGTCTGCTAAATGACAAAATAAAAATAAAAAAATAAAGTCAGTTCGTCAAATTTCTGCCCTGCTAGAGCTGCCCCGGTCAACTGTAAGTGCTGTTATTGTGAAGTGGAAACGTCTAGGAGTAACAACGGCTCAGCCGTGAAGTGGTAGGCCACACAAGCTCACAAAATGGGACCGCTGAAGTGCGTAAAAATCGCCTGTCCTCGGTTGCAACATTCACTACCGAGTTCCAAGCAACGTCAGCACAATAACTGTTTGTCAGGAGTTTCATGAAATGGGTTTCTATGGCCGAGCAGCCACACACAAACCTAAGATCATCATGTGCAATGCCAAGTGTTGGCTGGAGTGGTGTAAAGCTCTCCGCCATTGGACTGTGGAGCAGTGGAAACACATTCTCTGGAGTGATGAATCACGCTTCACCATCTGGCGGTTTGGTGATGCCAGGAGAACGCTACCTGCCCGAATGCATAGTGGCAACTGAAAAGTTTGGTGGAGGAGGAATAATGGTCTGGGGCTGTTTCTCATGGTTCGGGCTAGGCCCCTTAGTTCCAGTCAAGGGAAATCTTAACGATACAGCGTACAATGACATCCTAGATGATTCTGTGCTTCCAACTTTGTGGCAACAATTTGGTGAAGGCCCTTTCCTGTTTCAGCATGACAATGCCCCCATGCACAAAGCGAGGTCCATATAGAAATGGTTTGTCGAGATCGGTGGGGAAGAACTTGACTGGCCTGCACAGAGCCCTGACCTCAACCCCATCGAACACCTTTGGGTTGAATTGGAACGCCGACTGCGCTCCAGGCCTAATCGCCCAACATCAGTGCCTGACCTCACTCATGCTCTTGTGGCTGAATGGAAGCCAGTCCCCGCAGCAATGTTCCAACATCTAGTGGAAAGCCTTCCCAGAAGAGTGGAGGCTGTTATAGCAGCAAAGGGGGGGACCAACTCTATTTTTTTATTTAACCTTTATTTAACTGGGCAAGTCAGTTAAGAACAAATTCTTATTTACAATGACGGCCTACCCCGGCCAAACCCGGACGACGCTGGGCCAATTGTGCGCCGCCCTATGGGACATTTTTCAAAACACGCACATCAATATATATATATGTTCTTCATTGCAAGGGTTCAAATCATTCCTCTCTCTGTATGAGAACAGGACCAACCGGACCCGCTATGGTGACCCGGTGGCACTTCAGGTGGGCTGGCACGGCATTCCCACCGACGGGGTGGACGCATGTGTTCACGTGTGGAACAGGAACACTGATGCTGTCTACTTCTTTAAAGGTAATGGGACTGACTACAGTAAATCTCTCTCTCTCTCTCGCTCTCTCTCTCTCTCTCTCTGTCTCTCTCTCTCTCTCTCTCTGTCTCTCTCTCTCTCTCTCTCTCTCTCTCTCTCTCTCTCTCTCTCTCTCTCTCTCTGTCTCTCTCTCTCTCTCTCTCTGTCTCTCTCTCTCTCTCTCTCTCTCTCTCTCTCTCTCTCTCACACAAACGCTGATCTGGAAGGGCATTTTATACTGTATACAGGTAAAAGTCAGTAAATTAGAATATTTTGAAAAACTTGATTTATTTCAGTAATTGCATTCAAAAGGTGTAACTTGTACATTATATTTATTCATTGCACACAGACTGATGCATTCAAAGTTTATTTCATTTAATTTTGATGATTTGAAGTGGCAACAAATGAAAATCCAAAATTCCGTGTGTCACAAAATTAGAATATTACTTAAGGCTAATACAAAAAAGGGATTTTTTAGAAATGTTGGCCAACTGAAAAGTATGAAAATGAAAAATATGAGCATGTACAATACTCAATACTTGGTTGGAGCTCCTTTTGCCTCAATTACTGCATTAATGCGGCGTGGCATGGAGTCGATGAGTTTCTGGCACTGCTCAGGTGTTATGAGAGCCCAGGTTGCTCTGATAGTGGCCTTCAACTCTTCTGCGTTGTTGGGTCTGGCATTCTGCATCTTCCTTTTCACAATACCCCACAGATTTTCTATGGGGCTAAGGTCAGGGGAGTTGGCTGGCCAATTTAGAACAGAAATACCATGGTCCGTAAACCAGGCACGGGTAGATTTTGCGCTGTGTGCAGGCGCCAAGTCCTGTTGGAACCTGAAATCTCCATCTCCATAGAGCAGGTCAGCAGCAGGAAGCATGAAGTGCTCTAAAACTTGCTGGTAGACGGCTGCGTTGACCCTTGATCTCAGGAAACAGAGTGGACCGACACCAGCAGATGACATGGCACCCCAAACCATCACTGATGGTGGAAACTTTACACTAGACTTCAGGCAACGTGGATCCTGTGCCTCTCCTGTCTTCCTCCAGACTCTGGGACCTCGATTTCCAAAGGAAATGCAAAATTTGCTTTCGTCAGAAAACATGACTTTAGACCACTCAGCAGCAGTCCAGCTCTTTTTTTCCTTAGCCCAGGTGAGACGCTTTTCGCGCTGTTTCTTGGTCAACAGTGGCTTGACACGAGGTATGCGGCAGTTGAAACCCATGTCTTTCAAGCGTCTCTTGGTGGTGGATCTTGAAGCCCTGACTCCAGCAGCTGTCCACTCCTTGTGAATCTCCCCCACATTTTTGAATGGGTTTTTTTTCACAATCTTGACTAGGGCGCGGTGATCCCTATCACTTGTACACTTTTTCTGACCACAGTTTTTCCTTCCCTTTGCCTCTCTATTAATGTGTTTGGACACAGAGCTCTGAGAACAGCCAGCCTCTTCTGCAATAACCTTTTGTGTCTTTCCCTCCTTGTGCAATGTGTCGATGGTCGCCTTTTGGACAGCTGTCAAATCTGAAGTCTTCCCCATGTTTGTGTAGGCTTCAGAACTGGACTGAGAGACCATTTAAAGCCCTTTGCAGGTGTTTTGAGTTAATCAGCTGATTATTTTGTGGCACCAGGTGTCTTCAAAATGTAACCCTTACACAATATTCTAATTTTGTGACACACGGAATTTTGGATTTTCATTTGTTGCCACTTCAAATCATCAAAATTAAATGAAATAAACATTTGAATGCATCAGTCTGTGTGCAATGAATAAATATAATGTACAAGTTACACCTTTTGAATGCAATTACTGAAATAAATCAAGTTTTTCAAAATATTCTAATTTACTGACTTTTACCTGTATTGTGTTTGTCTAAAAGTGTTTTGTCTATTTGTCTTGACTGTGGCTACATCTGTTGGAGGCTTGAGTCTCCCTCTTGACTGTGGCTACATCTGTTGGAGGCTTGAGTCTCCCTCTTGACTGTGGCTACATCTGTTGGAGGCTTGAGTCTCCCTCTTGACTGTGGCTACATCTGTTGGAGGCTTGAAACCCTGAAAACGTTCAACTGCAGCTGAAAATCATAGTCCAAACCTACTCTATCATATAGCTGTTTTATATGATTGTTGTTTGTTTCGTTTTTTTTTTTTTTTAAAGCGATTTTGAAATGTTCTCTGTAATGAAAAGATGTATAGAAGTTGAATAAATCTATATTGTATGAATCTCTCCTTGTGTACACTAGGCACCCAGTACTGGGAGTATGACGATGGCAAAGACCAGGTGTTGACAGTGGACCCTGAGGGACACCGCTACCCTAGACTCATCTCTGAGGGGTTCCCAGGGGTGCCCAGTCCAATAGACACAGCTTTCTATGACAGGAGGGACTCATATATCTACTTCTTTAAGGGCACTAATGTAAGTTTGAAGTTGATTTGCCATAATGTCATTAACATATTGTTGATTTGCCATAATGTCATTAACATATTGTTGATTAGCCATATACCATTAACCTGGGCGGCAGGTAGCTTAGTGGTTAAGAGTGTTGTGCCAGTAACCGAAAGGTCGCTGGTTCTAATCCCCGAGCCGACTAGGTGAAAAATCTGTCGATGTGCCCTTGAGCAAGGCACTTAACCCTAATTGCTCCTGTAAGTCTCTCTGGATAAGAGCGTCTGCTAAATGACTAAAATGTAAATGTAAATTTTGATTAGCCATATGACATTAACATATTGTTGCTGTATGTTTGATACAATTTCCTTCATTCTTCCTGTTTAGTTTTTCTTTCATCTGCTTGATTTTGTTGTTTAAATGTAAAGTGTTTAGCGATTTTAAAAGCACTTTAAATAAAAGATTGATTTGGTACATTTGAAATCTTCCTCAGCAGATCTCTCACCATAAACACAGAAAGTTCCGGAAGGGCTACATCATTCTCCACAGAGTTTAAACATTCCTCCTTTAATGCTTCCCAATTATATCCAAGTGGAGGACCAAATGCACGAATCAGTTGTTAAAACATGACACATGAAAATATTGTGTTATGCATAAAAATCCCCATCAGAGTTTGTTTGTTTTGCTAAATTGATCGTTCAGTACATTTTATCACCGGCCTCATTCGAATAGATTTTTCAACGGTTCTTTTATTTAGTTCCTCCTCCCTGTCATCTAAACGTGTAAATGTGTTCCAACAGGTGTATGCGTTGGACGTGACAGCCAACAGCTTGGCCCCAGGCTTCCCCAGGAAGATCACAGCTGTGTTCCCTGCAGTGGTGCCTGGGGATCACCCAGGCGGTAACATAGACGCCTCCTACTTCTCCTACACGCACAACGCTGTCTTTCTGTTCAAGGACGCACAGTTCTGGAGGGTGGCGGCGGCGGGGAGGAGGAGCAGAGACGGCTGGAGGAGACCGTCGCTGCCACACAACGGCCTGATGCCACACAGGGAGGTGGGGGAACAGTGGTTTGACATTTGCAACGTTCACCCCTCGGCCCTGAAGGTGGCCCGCCGCTGACAGGAGGGTTATGACGATATTGTGGGATTAGGGGAGTCTGGACCCAGATCTGTTTGCACTCTTACCAACGCCATGGTACTGTGGGAGGAGCTAGGGGAGTCTGGACCCAGATCTGTCTGCACTCTTACCAACGCCACGGTACTGTGGGAGGAGCTAGGTGAGTCTGGACCCAGATCTGTCTGCACTCTTACCAACGCCACGGTACCGTGGGAGGAGCTAGGGGAGTCTGGACCCAGATCTGTTTGCACTCTTACCAACGCCACGGTACTGTGGGAGGAGCTAGGGGAGTCTGGACCCAGATCTGTTTGCACTCTTACCAACGCCACGGTACCGTGGGAGGAGCTAGGGGAGTCTGGACCCAGATCTGTTTGCACTCTTACCAACGCCACGGTACCGTGGGAGGAGCTAGGGGAGTCTGGACCCAGATCTGTTTGCACTCTTACCAACGCCACGGTACTGTGGGAGGAGCTAGGGGAGTCTGGACCCAGATCTGTTTGCACTCTTACCAACGCCACGGTACCGTGGGAGGAGCTAGGGGAGTCTGGACCCAGATCTGTCTGCACTCTTACCAACGCCACGGTACCATGGGAGGAGCTAGGGGAGTCTGGACCCAGATCTGTTTGCACTCTTACCAACGCCACGGTACTGTGGGAGGAGCTAGGGGAGTCTGGACCCAGATCTGTTTGCACTCTTACCAACGCCACGGTACCGTGGGAGGAGCTAGGGGAGTCTGGACCCAGATCTGTCTGCACTCTTACCAACGCCACGGTACTGTGGGAGGAGCTAGGGGAGTCTGGACCCAGATCTGTTTGCACTCTAACCAACGCCACGGTACTGTGGGAGGAGCTAGGGGAGTCTGGACCCAGATCTGTCTGCACTCTAACCAACGCCACGGTACTGTGGAAGGAGCTAGGGGAGTCTGGACCCAGATCTGTCTGCACTCTAACCAACGCCACGGTACTGTGGGAGGAGCTAGGGGAGTCTGGGCCCAGATCTGTTTGCACTCTAACCAACGCCATGGTACTGTGGGAGGAGCAGACTGGCCCTCCAGCTATGAGAACAGAGATCCCAGAGTGACTGCTGTTTACACAGTAAACTGACTTACAGTGAGGGGAAAAAAGTATTTGATCCCCTTCTGATTTTGTACGTTTGCCCACTGACAAAGACATGATCAGTCTACAATTTTAATGATAGGTTTATTTGAACAGTGAGAGACAGAATAACAACAACAAAATCCAGAAAAATGGATGTAAAAAATGTTATCAATTGATTTGCATTTTAATGAGGGAAATAAGTATTTGACCCCTCTGCAAAACATGACTTAGTACTTGGTGGCAAAACCCTTGTTGGCAAACACAGAGGTCGGATGTTTCTTGTAGTTGGCCACCAGGTTTGCACACATCTCAGGAGGGATTTTGTTCCACTCCTCTTTGCAGATCTTCTCCAAGTCATTAAGGTTTCGAGGCTGACGTTTGGCAACTCGAACCTTCAGCTCCCTCCACAGATTTTCAATGGGATTAAGGTCTGGAGACTGGCTAGGCCACTCCAGGACCTTAACGTGCTTCTTCTTGAGCCACTCCTTTGTTGCCTTGGCCGTGTGATTTGGGTCATTGTCATGCTGGAATACCCATCCACGACCCATTTTCAATGCCCTGGCTGAGGGAAGGAGGTTCTCACCCAAGATTTGACGGTACATGGCCCCGTCCATCGTCCCTTTGATGCGGTGAAGTTGTCCTGTCCCCTTAGCAGAAAAACACCCCCAAAGCATAATATTTCCACCTCCATGTTTGACGGTGGGGATGGTGTTATTGGGGTCATAGGCAGCATTCCTCCTCCTCCAAACACAGCGAGTTGAGTTGATGCCAAAGAGCTCGATTTTGGTCTCATCTGACCACAACACTTTCACCCAGTTCTCCTCTGAATCATTCAGATGTTCATTGGAAAACTTCAGACGGCCCTGTATATGTGCTTTCTTGAGCAGGGGGACCTTGCGGGCTCTGCAGGATTTCAGTCCTTCACGGCGTAGTTTGTTACCAATAGTTTTCTTGGTGACTATGGTCCCAGCTGCCTTGAGATCATTGACAAGATCCTCCCGTGTAGTTCTGGGCTGATTCCTCACCGTTCTCATGATCATTGCAACTCCACGAGGTGAGATCTTGCATGGAGCACCAGGCCGAGGGAGATTGACAGTTATTTTGTGTTTCTTCCATTTGCGAATAATCGCACCAACTGTTGTCACCTTCTCACCAAGCTGCTTGGCGATGGTCTTGTAGCCCATTCCAGCCTTCTGTAGGTCTACAATCTTGTCCCTGACATCCTTGGAGAGCTCTTTGGTCTTGGCCATGGTAGAGAGTTTGGAATCTGATTGATTGATTGCTTCTGTGGCCAGGTGTCTTTTATACAGGTAACAAACTGAGATTAGGAGCACTCCCTTTAAGAGTGTGCTCCTAATCTCAGTTTGTTACCTGTATAAAAGACACCTGGGAGCCAGAAATCTTTCTGATTGAGAGGGGGTCAAATACTTATTTCCCTCATTAAAATGCAAATGAATTTATAACATTTTTGACATGAGTTTTTCTGGATTTTTTTGTTGTTATTCTGTCTCTCACTGTTCAAATAGAAACATGTTCCCTATTAAAGACTTGTAACAAAACATGCTGCTGTTGTCTTTGTGTGGTTGTGATTGGCTTCATTTATCAATACCACAGAACACATTCTGGAATGATTGATTAGTGAAATCTCTATGGTAACAGAGCAAATTCTAAACATGGTGTGATGAGGTGGTGTTGAAGGAGTCAGGCGCAGGAGGTTAAATCACAGAATAACAGGCTTTAATCCGCAAAATACAGGTTTACACAGAAATGCGTCAAACATACTCCAGGGCACAAAACAGGCGCACTGAAAAATACAAGGCACACGGTAAAATACTCCCGTCGATACATAATACACGCGCTTCACTAACCTCCACAATAAACAATCACCCACACAGACAAGGAAGCAGAGGGAACACTTATACAATGACTAAAGAGGGAATAAGGACCAGGTGTGTGTGATTGAAGACAAGACAAATGGAGTGATGAGAAATGGATCGGCAGTGGCTAGTAAGCCGGTGACGCCGAACGCCGAAACCTGCCCGAACAAGGAGGGGAGGCAGCCTCGGCGGAAGTCGTGACACTTGGAGATATTTATTCTGGCAAAGAATAATCAATGGGATGGCAGATATCAGAATAGCATATTTGTAAGATTTTACAAAGTTTAAATTGTCATTTGAATATCACTGTTTCACTTTTTAGCGCAATTAAACTCTGTCCCTATTCAAACTGTTTTTTAGCAAGTATTGTGCCCAATACAGTAGTCAGGGTTAGCCCTATATTCATTTTACCGCAATTTTTATGGAATTACTTTTGTGCCTTTAATATCAAGCAAACCTTTTGAATTCGAAAACAAAATTGTTAGTATTGCAAACAAAAATAATGATATTGAAAGCAAAACATTAACCCTAACTTCATTGTAAGGTGTCCAGTACAGGTCGGTGTTTGAAAGCAACTTGGAATCGAAGAAAACACTGAAACCACTGCGAAATCAGTGGGATCTTGCATTTTATGATACAAAGGTTGAAAAACGGTTTTGGATGTCATTGATCACATGATAATGTTACTTTGAAACGAGCATCGGTACATTGTGTTGGATCAGTAGTGCTTTGAAAACTACATCGGAGCTCCGGTATCAATCGTCCCATCACTAGGTATGACCATCACCACAGCAGGCTAACAACCACGACCTGGCCATCACCACAGCAACCTAACAACCACGACCTGGCCATCACCACAGCAACCTAACAACCACGACCTGGCCATCACCACAGCAGCCTAACAACCACGACCTGGCCATCACCACAGCAACCTAACTACCACGACCTGGCCATCACCGCAGCAGCCTAACAACCACGACCTGGCCATCACCACAGCAACCTAACAACCACGACCTGGCCATCACCACAACAACCTAACAACAACGACCTGGCCATCACCACAGCAGCCTAACAACCACGACCTGGCCATCACCACAGCAACCTAACAACCACGACCTGGCCATCACCACAGCAACCTAACTACCACGACCTGGCCATCACCACAGCAACCTAACAACCACGACCTGGCCATCACCACAGCAACCTAACTACCACGACCTGGCCATCACCACAGCAGCCTAACAACCACGACCATCACCACAGCAGCCTAACAACCACAACCATCACCACAGCAACCTAACAACCATGACCTGGCCATCACCACAGCAACCTAACAACCACGACCATCACCACAGCAACCTAACAACCATGACCTGGCCATCACCACAGCAACCTAACAACCACAACCATCACCACAGCAACCTAACAACCACGACCTGGCCATCACCACAGCAGCCTAACAACCACGACCTGACCATCACCACAGCAGCCTAACAACCACGACCATCACCACAGCAACCTAACAACCACGACCTGGCCATCACCACAGCAGCCTAACAACCACGACCTGGCCATCACCACAGCAACCTAACAACCATGACCTGGCCATCACCACAGCAACCTAACAACCACGACCATCACCACAGCAACCTAACAACCATGACCTGGCCATCACCACAGCAACCTAACAACCACGACCATCACCACAGCAACCTAACAACCACGACCTGGCCATCACCACAGCAACCTAACAACCACGACCTGGCCATCACCACAGCAGCCTAACAACCACGACCTGGCCATCACCACAGCAGCCTAACAACCACGACCTGGCCATCACCGCAGCAGCCTAACAACCACGACCATCACCACAGCAACCTAACAACCACGACCTGGCCATCACCACAGCAGGCTAACAACCACGACCTGGCCATCACCACAGCAACCTAACAACCACGACCTGGCCATCACCACAGCAGGCTAACAACCACGACCTGGCCATCACCACAGCAACCTAACAACCACG